AAGACTTCGGAACGCCACCTCTAATCTACCAACCAAACGCTATCCCGCAGAACCGGGACTAGCACCAAATCTACGACTCTAACTACTGGTGGTCTTCATCGTCGCCGTCGACGCCTGAACGCCACCCAAATATCTTCTCGGTCGCCGGCCGCCGCGCGAAACTCCTTCCGCGCGCGCGCGGGCTCGCGTACAGCAGGGGATGACGAAGTGGCACTGTCCGCGAGGGGGTGACTCTTGGGCAGCACAGTAGGCCGGCTTGCCCAGGCTACTACCTCGGACAAATACAATCTTCGTCGATACATACCGTAGTGCTACGGCCCTTTCACACCAATAATAATTATTTTTGACCAGGTGTGAAAAAAAAATTAATTATTCAGAGCCAAGTGTGAAATCAAAAAAGTTGCAATAAAAATAATTGATTGATAACCCCCGGGTTCGAACCGGGTCTGGCGCAAAGCCAGAAGCACCAACTGCTGGTCACCTGTTTTTTTTTTTTCTTTTTTTTCTTCTTTTTTTTCTTTTTTTTTTGTTTTTTTTTCTTTTTTGTTTTATGCTTTTCTTTCAAAGCCAATTCAGAAACATTTCTTCCGGACCCCCCCCCTTCCTAGGCCCCGTCTGCAAACCCCCTCCTGAACCCTACCCGCCATCCAATTTGAATCTGCAGAGAAGCTTGCTACTCCAGCTCAAAGGCATCAGCATCTAGCTCCTCATCCCAATCAGCCTGCCACTCCCCCAAAACCATGTCCTCAAGCTCATCACGCTCCTCCAAACACTCTGCCATCACCTGCAGCATGGTTGCTGCCCCCTCATGCTGCTCAATGATCTCCGCGTCCCCCTCAGGCCCAGCACCCAAGTCAACCTCAAGTTGCTCTCGAGCCAGCAGCCCCCTATTCAGGCACTCCGAAAGCGCGCGCGACTGGAATGCAAGATCATGAATCTCGCCCATCCTGCACTTGCCCCACCCCTTCCGGATCATCTCTTTCTCCTTACAGAGATCCTCCCAGGCAACCCTAAGCCACCCCATAAACTTCTCGCGCAACTCCTTCATCCCCAATGTGACCTTCACAGCTTCACCCTCTACCCCCCCTCGATCTGAGCTGCCACCTCAGCAGCCTGCCAGGAGTTAAACTGCTGGCGGAAGCGGTGCTTGAATGGCCTCTGAAGCACCACATCTGCTGGCTGCAACTTCCCTGTGCAGTTAGCTGGAACAAACAGCACCTTCACGAGGGGGAACCTCTCTGCCATGTTCCCCAAAAACTCCGCCGACTTGTGAACTTTCCAGCAGTCCACCAACCAGATCATCTTCTGAACAAGAGCATTCCGCCCCAACTCTGCACACTTCTTTGCATGCCAGGGAACGAGCACCCGCTCAACAAACCACATTGAGGTCTCCTGGTTTGACCAGTGGTTTGCTGAGTGGGTCAGGTCAAAACCCTTCGCCTTTGCAATTGTTGCCTCAACCCCCTGTGGCTCAACCGCTGACGTCTTCCCCTCAAAGACGCACTGCAAAGGCAGCACCTCCCCCCCTGCTGAAGAGCTTACGACACAGGTTATCTGCCGCTTATCCTCCTTCCCCAGAATCTTAACCTCCTTCACATTTTTCTGCTCGTAAGTGAGATCTGAGGACGGGCGCAAGTGAACTCCCGTCTGATCTGAGTTCACCACGAGCTCAGGGGGGATATTGTCCTTATAGCAAATGGCCGCAATGCGGAAGGCCATGTCATCCCCTTGCTGCTCCCAGTCATCAGGGAGCTTACTGGCGGCCGTGGTGGCCCTCCGCCAGGTCCACCCCAACCACCTATTGGCAAACTTCCTGGAAAAGCTCCGAGAGACTTCAAACAACTGCCCCCCCTTGAGCCTCCGTTGCAACAACTCTGGGGCCAGCGCCTCAATCGTACCCCGGATGACAGACTGAATGATCGAGCTATCAACCGGCTGCCCCGCGTCTCGCATCCCTGTCAGGATTGCGAGAAGCTTCCGAAAAACCTCTGGATGACCCTTAAAGATCCCCCCAGGCTTTTCCATTTCCTTAGCCAGCCGGGCAGCCTTCTGAGCGTTAGAGCACCGCACTGCCTCTGCGTACCTTTCCCTTAGGGAGAACTGGTTGGTTACGGGGTCCCTCTCAAACCAGGTTTTCATGCTCCCCAGCGTCAGCTTGTCATACACACTCCCCGAACGGCCAGGAACCCGAATGTGCTGCAGAGCATTGAGCGCATCATACAGACTTCTGGGGTGCTTCTTGACAGCAGCAGCAATTGGGGCCCAGAGGTCAGGGACAAACCAGTTGGTGTAGAATCCCCTGACCTTCTTTGCTGGAGGCGGTTGCGTGCCATCCCCCCCCCCATTCCCCCCGGCCGCCTCAGGAGTTGCGTCCCCCTCAACCCCTGGCACATTTGCCCTGGGAGCTTCCTCTGTCCTCTGAGGCACAAACAGGTGCTCTGGCTTGGCCTTCTTTGGCCGCCCAACTGGCCGCTTGGCTGCCAGACGACGACGCTCAAGTTCCTCCCTCTTCGCAGCAGCCTGAGCAAACCGCTCAGCGCTCCTCACAGCATCTCGTTTCCGTTGCTCCTCAAGCTCCTCCTTTGTTGCAACTTTGAAAAAGCTCGTGATGGTTGCCACAGGCCTCTTGGCGCCAACCTGAGCAGCCATCTTTCCTACGTTCTGTACGTTCTGTTCTACCGGAACTTGTAGGTAGACTTCATTCAAGATGGCAAAGAAGGGCAAGCTGTTGTGCAGGCCAATTTGCCTGCTTTTGGCGCGAGATTCAGTTGCCAGTGACTGGCATTCATGCCCGTCGATCTGATCAAAACCCTGCCCAATGCCGTCGATGCTGGAAAACCATCATGAAACTTTTCACACTGGACACGGCTGGTGCGAAACCTTGAAAGTTGGAAAATAATTGCTGGAGGCCCGCTGTGAAAAAAAAAAAGTGAAAAAATAATTGTTCACGAGGAGCTGGTGTGAAAGGGTCGTGGCACTACGGTATTACGGTACCTTGGATTAGTCCATATTCGTGGGTTGTTAGCAGGCAAGGTAACTGTTCGTTTCATGGTCGACGAGATTGTCAACCAGCCAGTCAATGTGGGTGCAATTTTGCAAAGCCCAGGACGAATTCCTACCCTGCTACATAGTGCATCTTGCAAGCGCCAGTTGTTGCTCCTGAATCTTGTCAGCGAAGCCCCATGTCTGGACCTTTGGTGACCTTCTCTGCTGCAGAAAAAAATGGCATCAGCATCTGGAAAGCGCATCACAGTCGAAGCCTGTGGGTGGGCAAGGAAGCTGTCTCACTGGTGTTGGGCTGTGCTGGGCGGTGGCGCTTCCGGAGCTGCAGCCCAAAATGTGCTGCCGATCAGCGCTGTCCTATCTGCTAGCCATGCTATCCAGCAGCTTCCGTTGTACTGCATTGGGACTTTTCAGACACCCTCTTCGATTTTTGGATGGGGAGGGACTCCGCATTTTGGAACATCAGTAAACCAAGGGCAGATTACACCTGCTGCAGTGGTAGATTCTGGTGGCCATTTGAAGCAGGAAAGGGGGGAAATTCTTGAAAAGAGGGCAAATGAAGTTCCTCCTGCAGAACCTGTGTTAGTGAGTACGTCGGAAAGCCAAGTCAAGTTTTGCCCAAGTTGTCATCATTCCAAGCTGTGGGTCGATTTTGAGAAAACAGTCACGAGTATGGACGGGCAGACAGACATCTGCCGAGCATGCTTGGCTGTCTTGCGAGCAATGATTATGCAGAAAGAGCTGCATCATCTGAGGTTGAGTGCGACGGAAGCATGGGAGAAGGCCAAGGCTTGTACGAAATGTGGGCTCACAAAGGAGTTGAGGGATTTTGCAAGGTCCTCTAAAGGCAAGCATCAGACGCATGTTTATTGCAGGGCATGCATTTCTGTATTAAATCATGCCCGACCGCGGTATGCTCCAACTGACCAGGACCTGCGGTGCACTGTGTGCCGTGAGGTCAAAGCTGCCAATCAGTTTCGTCTATCCCCAGTATGTTTGACTGGGCGTTCGCCAACTTGCGCAAGTTGCAGCAAGACAATGGATATGCTCATGAGACAAAAAAGGGCAAAGGCAAGGATATACGTTCAGAGAGAAACGAAGAAATGTACTGCCTGTGGCCAGCATAAACCAGTGTCCGAGTTCTACACCTGGGCCGGAGCGATGGATGGGTTGCAATCTTTATGTGGCGCATGTACACATCTTGATAAGAAGAAGCGGTCCAACTTACGCAAAGTGAAAGAGGGTTGCAAAAATCAGGATTCAATTCAGCATTAATATTGGGGAGCGTCAGCTCCACCTCGCCTTGAACGGCGCTTCCTAGTTGAGCAAGTGGATCCTTGGGGCCTGAATGAGATTTGAAAGGTCCAGAAGGTATCGAGGGCTGGGCTGGACTCGACTGTGTGGAGGGCTTACTTTAATGTTGAGCTCTGTTGAACTTCCGCATCAGCAGTCGCTGGCAGTGCAGTCTTAGTGCGGTGGAGATTGTAGACGTCAGGCGCAATTTCCCGCGGCTCTTCCAATTTCCTCTTGATAGGACATTACGAATTTAAGACATCAGCGTCATTTTCACGTTGTCCTAGGTGAGCACAAAACTTGAATACGCCTTGATTGTTTCCTCGTTGCTTCAGGTTCTTTAGCAAGCTCTTTGCTTTCACAATATTGCATTGAGGGTTTACGGAGTGTTGCAGTATTCCCCTGGCAATCGTACATAAGTAGATGTTGGCAGCTGAGAGAATACGGCACATAAGCACATGATAAAGACAAAAACACGTGATACATACCTCCTGCAGTGGCTATTCAGCGTATTGGATTCGAGGATATGTTGCATAGCTAGACCGCTTCAAGCAGGCGTTCAGATCTAGCACAGAGCTTGTTCATACTTAAAGCTCCTTGTGCTTACCGCAAGCGCTCCAAGTCATCAAGCAGAAGTAGGCTAAGGAAGTGAACAAGCTTGATGACAAAGTACACTATGAAAGCAATTTCGTTGCATCAATCCGAATCTCGACGGAGCTCTGCATGATCCAATCTCACTAAAAGTTTGCTTGAATTATAGATGTTACATGTGTAGTTAGGTCCAACTGTAAAGCGGACCATCACAATGCAATGTTTTCTAACTTGAAGTGTGTTCCAAAGTTCAATGCCGACAAAACAAGGATCGATAAGGGCAAGCTGCGTCGATGGTGGTAACTTAGAAGAAGACAATAAGCGGGACGGTCTCTAGAGTTCACTGACGTATGCGCGGTTGGCCGGGCATGCGCATGCTCGAGTTACAGGATACATATAACCTCATGGTGTTCAAAGTATGAACATGAATGCAGGTCCATGTACGTGCAGTTTTGCAATCACACAGCTCATATCGAGCATGTTCATGATCGGATGTAATTGCAACTTATTTATAGAGCTAGCACGGCAGCTATATACAAAAAGAACAAAATGTGTCTGATGATGGACGATCGTGATGGCGACTTCATCTGGCACACAACAAAACAGTGCACGCTTCATGCCCAAAATACATACTAAAATAAGAGCATGTAGAGTTTTCGATCTCGGTATTGGGGCCACTTACAATGATCAGGGGGGTTGAGAACAAGATTCTAACAAGGATAATCGGCCTCATTAGACAGTTTAATCCGTTAAGGAAGCTCAAGGTAGGTTCACTAAGGGGATTCAAGAACGTCAAGCTAGCATCTGCACAGATTCTTATCCAATTGGGCAAGACTGCAATTTAGTTACTGATCTTTGCGAGCAATTGCGTGGGGCCTAGTTGAAGCTTTTGATTCATCTACTCAGGATCTACGAGCTCCCCTCGGATGCTTCCATCCTGTTGTGTCGATCGATGCAGCATGTACTTGACGACCTCATAGAAGGACACCACGATACCCACAGACGGGCCCGCACGGCCCATCCTTGGTCCCGCACCAGTAAAAAGACCACGGATGCCTTCTCGCCTGCAAATACGGCCCCAATTGTGTCAAGGCCTCGATTAACAGGCCCGATGACGTCTAGGCAGGCTTTGAGGTGCATCCATGCTTCTGCAAAGTTGACCGCCTGATTCTCATTCGGCAACCTAGGAGACCCGTATCCAGACTCGTTTAAGCAAGTCGCTCAACGGACGATTGAAACACCCAAAAGCCCATCCGACGATTGGATGGGTGTCTAGGAGCGCAAGACCACTTAAGCGACCATATATAGCAGAGCTCTCGTGATTGCTGGAATCGTAGCATACGCGGAAGAAGCCAAAAACCAGACGACGGAGCGTTAAGAGGCTAGAGCCCTCACCTATACACCTGCTTCAGCGTTTGCCACGTGTTCATCTTCCGCGCCTGCTCAGGATCCATCTGCAAGACGAGAAGCGGCTGTCAAAAGCACTGTTACCTTGGCGGCAAGCACGATGATTGATTTCAAGTGTGACGCGACTTCTGCCGCCATACTAAGAAGGGCGTGACGCAAGCCAGTAACCACGCAGCCTCGGCAAAGGGTTCCGTATCCAAGATACATACGGTGTAGACGCGAATGTTACATGCCTCGTCGGATTCTCAATGAAGCCCAAGATCTCAAACTCGCCGCCGAAGTACAAGTCAAAGAGATATTTACACACGTCTTCTGCAACGGCTGTGGCAGCACTGTGAGACGGGTGACCATCTTTTCGAGAACGCGATTCCTTGCATGACGGACGAGACTCCCCAGTCCCGAAGCAACGAGCATAGACCAACTTTCAAAAGCCAACAGGACAATGTGCGTCCAGTACGTCAAACCGAGCTAGCAGCTTGGCATCGACAGCAGTGCTGACGACAGACCGGCGGAAACGGAACCAGCTCTCTAAGAAGCACCCAACATTTTGTGGAGCGTTCTTCGACGAGATCTACTTTCAAATATAAAACCACATGGTACACGGCTTTGCCTGCATACTTGTCTGAGACAGTCCATTAATAACTGCATCCGGCTGTCAGGTCATTTCGGAATTTGTGAATCAACATCTACGTACCAGAGGCGCTACAAAGGAGTGGAGTCGCTCCCTCGGCAGAGTGACCCGACTATACAGGGAAAGAACCACAAAGTCACAACGGCAAACGGAATGCTTCGCACTTGTCCGCTCACCTCGATCTGCCTCAGCGTTTTGGCAACGTCCAACGGGCACGTGACCAGCCCAGCCAGCGAGCCCGCGATCAGCCCGGCCGTAAAATTGGCGGAGACAATGGTTGCCGGCCCCGGGTCCGGTCCTCCACTGTACTCCAAAAGCTTTCGTCGAATCTGTGCGGCGAGCAGCAAACAAAGTTTTGGAAAAGAAAGAAGCACGAAAACAAAAGACAGTAAAAGCGTTCTTTGGAGGTGTTGAAAAATGTTTCGTCGTTGAACGCGGATTGGAACTCAAGACCAGGGTTCCCGTTTGGGGTCATCCTGAAACCACTTTGAAGGCTGTCCGACAGCAATCGCGCTTCTTAATTGAAACCACGTTGAAGGTCTCAAAAGGCCTTCTAGACTGCGCGCAACTCCTGAGACTTTCAAAACATCCTCGAGCACTGAACAACTTACAAGGAAACAAACCTCACTGCAAGTCCTCATGCTCGGACTCGTCCATCGAACACGTAAAGCAATAACGTAGTCCACTAATGATGGAAAAAGGAGAACACAGGAAGCACTGGAAACAACCAGATTCTATCTTGCCATGGTTAGTGGAAGAAAACCACGGACGAGTGTGTGACCGAGCGTAATGGAGTTCTGTTCAACGTGAGCCGCCCACAGAATCGGGTTTGCCGAGTGCCGGTTAGAGCTCAGGGTTAGCGTGGAACGCGCGTGAAGCTAGCGACGTGCTTACTGGTTCTAGAGTACCCCAGCAGATGGCCGAGAAGGGCACATCGCGAGCTAGCTGCACGCCTACCCCGGCCCAAAGCGCTCTAATCTTTAGCACTGCAAAAGACCAGTGACGGGTTAACATCTAAACAACCAGGTTGCAAAGACCTTGACCAACTTTGAAAGTTTTTGGCTCGAGAATCTAGCCTGCAAGTAAAACCGAGGTTAGGCGTGTTAGCTTTCAGAGTTATTAAAAGAAGTGCTAAAACGTACCGCTACACGTGATCCTAATTAAGTGGGGTGTTGGGTTAAATAAAACGGGTTAGTAATGGAAGTGAAGGTAACCACGGTTAGGAAAGCTGGGGTTTTGCAATCGGAAGCGGTCTTACGGGCTCCAGCAGCGACCAGCAAATCGCTGTGAAGGGGACGTCCCGCGCCATGTTGGCGCCCACGCCCGTCCATAAGACCGAAACCCTGCCAACTGTAGGAGGGAAAACTGTAGATATTCCTGATAATGTAGCACAACCAGAGCGGTGACGTTTTCCTCCTTGAAGAAGATGAAGCAGTGAGAGTCTCGTACGATTGAGCAGGAGCAGAGCGTTGGCATTTCGGACTCGTTGGGAAGCTAAAAGTGCGGTGCGTGCCTTTTGAGATACACACGGGGACTCATTGAGATACACACGGGGACTCAATGACAAAGAAGAGCGGGTGAGAAAAAGGATACTCTAGAAGCCATCTCAACTTCAGAGCGTTTCCTTAGAAAGAATGAGAGCGGTTTTGTTTTTGTCAAATTCGTAGGTGGCAACGGACGAGCTCACCACCTAAGTCCGTCCTTCTGAGACGCCAACACTCTCTGCTCGACATCATCCGACGTTTGATCACCTTTTCACAATTACTTCGCTAAAATCGCGAGCCGTTTCCGAAGGAGAATCCAAATAAGAGTCTCCCAACCAAGGTAAGTTCGGAAATCCCCATACTAGTTCGTCCTCTCACCGTTGCTGCCAGGACCCTCTCGGACGCTGTGGACGGCTTCCAATAGCGTCCCGCTTATACCCTTCGGCTTTACACCGGGTCGGTCCGCCTTCTGAGCCTGAGAAGCAGCGTGGCGAGGTCAGATACGAGGCCTTCCGATGTTAAAATCAGTGAACGAAGAGTATGGACTCTTAGCCAATCATCCGTCCCGCCTAAAGTTCCACTCCTGAGATCGACGGCCAAGGTTGCTCGGTCATCATATCTGGACCGTCGATACGAGGAGCTATCAAGGAAAGAGGTCCGTGGGGCTTTGCTGGTAATTCGAGTTCATTCCCAGTCACCGCCGTGCAAACATGAGTCCTTCTTTGCTTAGAAAGATACAAGTGAGGATCGGTCAGACGCAGGTGCAATCAAAGTGTTAAGTCGTCATTGAATCTCATAATCGGTAAAACTCGAAGGTCGAGGGTCGAAGGTCGGTCAGACAGCAAATACAGCCGCTCAAGGACGAAGTTAACGCCTCTTTCGTAGCACAGGTGTAATAGAGAGTGCAAAGACAGGGCAGAGAGGATCACGAAGAACGAGTGCTCATTTATAGCTCACCTGCATTCTCGTCCTGACGAGCTCTAAGGGGGAGCAGATGAGAACGGCCACCGATCTGGAGGCGGCCCCCGCCAAGAATGGCGCGTATGGCCCCAGCTGCGTTTCCCGCTCTAGTTTTTCCCGGAAAATGTCGTACAGTGGCATGTAAATTCCCACCTGTGGGGATTTCAAAGGATTGGCATTCTCGAGCAATAGGGACTTTTGAACGGCAGTAGGGGATGCGGATATGGGAACAAGGGAAGCACCATTATGGAGAGAGACCTTCGAACTGGGAAACCTGCCTCTAGTACTCGAAGCGGTTAATTCGTTCGACAGGTATCTGAGCAAAAGGGTGACTCGTTCGACGGGCATGGCTCAGATAGAGCTAGACCGGAGCCACATCCAGCGCCCCCTTCGCTTTTAAGACAACTAGCTGCTCTCAGCCAGAGACAAGTAGCTGCTCTTAGCCATAACATGAGGCGCAAACGGACACGGATAGGCAAAAGCAGCCAGAGAAATGCGCCCCGACCAGAGAATGGTGACTATTTCCAGAGCTAGTGAGTACGAGGAGCCAACTCACCGTTGGGACGGCAATCGCTAAGCCAGCGCCCGTACCACGCCAGAGTTGGAAGAAGCCCTCCTGCAAAGCACGAGATGAGCTTCTCAGTATAACATTCCGAGCAGGAGACCCGAGCCAAAGCCTCTTGAAATCCGTTCTTCGGATTCTGAGACAGACTCGACTGAAAAGTGAAGCGAATGCGTTGGACAATAAGTGGTCCAACTGTGCACGTTGTCTTGGCTACCTACACAATCATATTGAAACGTAGCCGAAGCCGGCGACGAGAGCCCGCAAGCGGGGAAATTATTCTGACTTTCTTAAAGCAGTCGAAGCTTAATCAAAAACCGAAACCAATCTCAACATTCGCGAGACCAACTTCGAACCGGGTCAAGAGCCCCATACTTGCCAATCAACTCTGAGGCTCAACGATCCACACAAGATGTTGACAAATATGCTTGCCTGGCGCACGACTTTGTACATGACGTCCCAAGTGCTAGTGTAGGAGTAACACTTGGGGGAACATAGTGGAGGTAGCTCTGCATTCCCCAACCGCGGACAAGCTCTCGGACAGTTCTGGTCTGCCAGCAACTGCAAGCACCAATGCAATCGGTTCGTTGTTTGTTTGAAAAAAGCGTTCATTCAAAATCATCTCAAATCTGGATTCTGTTCAAGGGTTTGTTCCAGGTTCGATTTAATTGAGCGCAAGATGACCGAATCGATCGGTACTGTCAGCAGACAACAAAGCTTTCGCGACATTTCTGGTCTGCCGGCAACCGCAATTTCAATCAAGGGTTATTTGATGATCTCGAGCCAATCCCAGATTTTAAACTGCGGAAAACGATATGCCACGCATTTGTAGCCAAGCCTCTAACATGGACTACCTCAGATTGAGAGCCAACCTGATCCAGCCAGGATACACTAGAAAGACGATGCGTCAGGTCAAATGTACGTTTAGGCTTCGTGGGAATGTTACCATCCAATCAATCCAGAGCATCGGGAATCTGACAACACTCACACTTTCAATTGCTGGATTTGTGTTCCTAAAGTTCCAGGTGGGGTGGGGGTCTGGTCGCCCAGCCGCTTGTGCTTGGAGGCGTGTCTGTGACGAGTAGGAGAATATCTTGTCAGCGCAGGTGGTCATTTTAGAGGTCGAATGAGATGGTCATATCCTTCTGCGTCTGTCGTAGAACCTTGAAATCGTCAGCTTCAGCTCAAACAGGTAAGGAGCTCACTCAGCTCACTCAGCTCGCGCCAGGACAAATCGAATTTTGATGATGTGAAAGGAGGCCTGTAAGTACCATAATCTCGCCCATGCTGACTTTTTTTCAATATTATGACTGATTGTCAGAGGTGATAGCCAAAAAAAAGGTGCTTGTGGAGTCAGAGAGTATCTTTTTACCGACAGAGGACATCCTACACAAGTGCTGAAGCTTTTGAGGCACCACTGTCCGAATGCAGGATGTCATGGACACGTCAAGCAGACTGGCCCTGTTCCAGACGCAAACTTGACGCCAGAGCGCTGCGCAACATCAACAAGCTGACAAGCTTTCCAACAGAAGAACCCAGGCTTGCTCCTGAAATGATCCAACAAAGCCGAGCTTTCCAATTAGTAGAACCCAGGCTTGCTCTTAAATGACCCAAGAAAGCCTTTTCTCAGAAACTGAGAGAGCAACTTGCGGAGTCCAGAGTTGGTACAGAAGAAAAGTAATAGCCTGACCAAACAATCACACTCACACCAAGACGCGAGCAGCTTCTATGTTTTATGCACCACTCCCCCACGAACTTTATGTCAACCAACTTAGTTAGCTGCACACTTGTCAATAGTCGTTCATTCTCACCTTGGCAACATCGAGCGGATTGACAATGATAGCTGATAGAAACGCAGCTGCTGCTGCAGATATTGCTCTCTCCTTCAATTCCAATTCCCGCACCGCTGACTGGCCCTCCAGATGTAGATTCTGTGCACTTCCATCTGAAGATCTCAGATGTGTATGATCTCCATGCATGCTGCCACTTGTCGACGCGCCTGCTGAGGACGCTTGCCTTTCTGCTGCAAGGCTCTGAGGCAAGGATAGGTCTGGAAAGGCATGCCCTGCTTGCGTAGCATTCGCTGCTATGTTGGTAGCAAAGTGGAGGGGCGACTGGACAGCTGAGTCCTGGCAGCCTGAACTTTGGACTGCTGCCATTGCAAAGGCTGGGAGTGGGGGAGGGTTCAAGGGATTTAGCAAGGGTAGCCAAGGGAAGAGGGACGGCATGATCAGGCGTGATATCAGCCAATCTTGCAATCGTTGCTAATCTAACCCTCCCCTTTGCTGGATCAGGGTGAAAAACTGAATTGATCTTAGTGCTCACAGCAAAGTATGTCCCTCAAGAATGATACTAGGCTGCTGCGGCTCAGTGTGCTTGAAGTCACCGTCCGATCAAGTTTTAGTAGGTTTAGTAAGAATTGCTGGAGTGGTGCGGTTTCTCAAGTGCTCAGAAAGGAAAACTCCAATACAACTTTGGCCACAAAAATTCTGTAAGCAGGCGTCTTTGATCTAGCAAGCAGCGCGGTTGGAGCTAGGCTTCAGGTGCATGCAGCGACACCCCACCACACTGAAAATCTCGCTTCTTCCAAAAGCAAGGAACCTGCCCTGCTGTGCATGCTCCCTTTGCTCATCAAGAGCCCCCTACAAAAGGAAGACTCACTGCACCACACCCATCTAACCAGACTGCACCACCACCCTTCTTCAGAAAGATTTGCTAGCAAAATAAACTTATAAAGTCCTCCACAGCTGATCCAGGCCGCTAGCTCTTCTCTGAAAAGGGTAACGTGCTTGGGCTTGGCCAGAGCAGAATCGGTGCCTTTCGAGCCCCCCTTCCAAGCGCCGCTTATGGGACTTACTCTTATGGGGACGGATCGCACCTAAGAAAGGATGTCAGCGGCCGACACGACGCCACGTGTATTCCACCCGCGACAATACTTTAGCCTGAGGCTCGCAGGATGCGCGCGCGCGCTCTGCGCGTGCGCAAAATTTTGTTGCGCAAGCCCGGCCGCCAGAGGCCCGTTGACAGTGGAATTGCCTCCCTGCATGAAGCCCTCACATCGGTGAACTCGAGTAGGACTATTCCAATGCTCATCAGAGAGCTATTTGCGCTGCTCGATTTGCTGATGTGGGGCCCCAGATGCCGCGTTAAGGCTTTGTGGTCAACGCGGGACCCCAGATTTATCTATCCAAAGATACAAAGCAAACACGTCGAGGGCACGTCGAGGCAAATGGCGGCGTCATTCCCTTCGTCTCATCGTCATCGTTGCCTAGCTGGCTAAGACCTTGAACTTCGAGATATGCGTTCAGTTCCGAAGCAGCTAGCCTTTAAATTGTGGGACTGTTTTGTGAGACTCAGGTACTCTTTATTTCGTTCTTGCAACAGCGCCAGTGCGTCTCACAATATAAGAATGATGTCGCCATCCGTGCTGCTTGATCAATCATCAGATCTGACGGCCTTCCAAGAGCGAGAGCCTGGCCGCTCTGACTACCTTCACGTCAACGGCAAATGACGACATTATCCTGACCAGCTGCGACGGACAGTAGCTGCAGCCTGCAACAAGCTCCTCGCAAGTACGTAGGTTCCAATCAAAAGATACGAATCAAAGACGGGTGCGTGCCGCTCGCGGCTCCGCTTCTGCGCCTGCCGCAATCAGTCGCTCACAAGTGCCGTTTCGGCTGAACGCGCTGCGCGTTCGATAAGCTGCACATTCGACGCCGAAGCCCCGCGCCCGAGATCTAGCGCAAGAGGAAGACCGGCCAGCAAAGACTGCGTTGCGGCGTTTATCCTCATTCGAGGGCCTGTTCAGATCCCGCATTCCAATTGCAGAAGCGCAAACCGCAGAGGGAGACACGAAAGCTTCCTGCGTAGGCTTGATAGAAACAACGCATCGAAATAGTTGAGCTTTTCAGTGCGATCATCGGTCCTTGAGATGGCACATCTCTCCCACTGCTCAAAGGCGCAGCTGGCGACCCGCTGCCTCTTCGCTGCAGTCCTGTTGGTCGCCCAGGTGCGTTCTTTGAATTTAAGCTTTTCAGTCGAACACTTCTCGGTTTGCAATTCGTTCTACGAAGCTCGATCCAATCTTTCTTTGTAAGAAGCAGTCGCCAGTCTATTCCTTTTCAAAGGGTCCCATCGGATGCACTTCAAGCAGCGTGCACTTTCGCTTTCATTGTTCCGCACTTGAGTTTCTTCATATTGCCCTAATATGAAGGAGAGGGAATAAAAGAGGTCTCAACCAGGGTTTGGAGAAGGTCCATTGAGTCGTGAAGGGAGCAATGCGTGGCATGCACGGGCTTTGATATTGTCGAGTTGTTTTTGCGTTCTTGGCATGTGTTGCTTAGATGTGGTATGATTCTCCACTTTTCTCCCCGTCGTTAGCGTGAGAATTCGAACGGTGGTTTTTCATTGCCCACCAGCCATATGGATTCGATCATCACTCCGCCTCAGTTGACGCACGAGTCAGAGACCGAGCAAGACATGCAGCTAGGCATCAATGAAAGGGCGATATACACAGTCCTGTTTCTCCATGAAAGTTCACAAACACACTCAGTACAGGCTCAAGCACGACTGACTGTGTCTCGGTCCTTTGAGCGGCTCTCATTCGGTCGAATCTTTGCTCACTCAATTTCTGCATCGATACCAGATATTCAGCCCCGTGAAGCAAGCGCACAAACCATCCGACAAACGTTCGTGTCAGTCCACTGCCAGTCCACTGCCCTTACTCTTCCCATTTCGAAGCTGCTTCCCAATTGTCTTGCAGCACGTTTCTGCGGGAAGGACCCGGGGCCTCTCACGCGCGACGGCCCAGACTTCGAAAGCGGCCGCGGGTGCTGGCGCGGCCGCGAGCACGACGGCCGGGCGGACTGTGGTGAACGGTGTGGCACTGACGAGCCAGCAGATAGCGGTGCTCAAGTAAGGTGGAGGTCACCATTTTTTGAGCTCCGATTATTGTTTGAGATCATATGTCAAGTCGACTGGCCGTTTGGATAACGGCCCAGCCAAACCTGGTGGAAGTGCAGATTCGAGGAGCAGATGTTGTCCAAGGGAAACGCACGTTTATTCAGTTTAGAAAAGCACACAGTCCACCGGAAGTGGCGCGTCTAGTTCGAAAGTGAGGCGAAAGTGAAAGTGCAAAGTATTGATCCGCTTATTGTGATGCTTATTCTGATGTACGTGCGTCGCGCAACGTCGATCCGACGGCATACAGTATCTGAGCCGTTCGACAGTGCCATTAGGGGGTCAAAAGGCCCATTTGTAGAATCGCCCAGATACGTTGCTATTGGAAGGACAGCATTTTTGACTAGGTTATCTGTATTTTTGTACACCTCTCTGTAAGGACTGTGAGGAACCCCGGTCAAAGTGACGGCCATTCGAAGCATGGTAGGAAGATGATCAGTGCTTGCGCTTTCCTTATGCTCTTATGCCTCCGGCTTTTGGCAATATAACAAAATGTGCTGTGTGCTTGGTTAGCCTGTGCGTTTCTGTTTCAACAGCTGTGGCAAGATCCATAAGGTCACGCAATTTCATCGCGTATACACCCCACACCATTTGCTCGTAGAAACGCGGGCATTAACGTCCAACCGGGCAACTTCTGGTACGATTCTCTGAGCGGCGCTTACGGCAGCGTCGGGGGACCAACCCGGGGACTTCTCCAACCGGGACTGCCTTTTGGTGAGGTTAAGGTTTGATGCATTTCGCCAATTACACGTCATCTGGCCACACAAATAGCTTCCGAGAACGTTTTTATCTTTGCATTCCAGAAAAAAGTCACATTTTCGAAGCTCGCTTCTCAAACTCCTTGCAAAGCACCCAGCTTTGCTGAAACCATGGCGCCAATTGAGCTCCGCTTTTGGATTCCCAATCAGATTCCCTCAGGAGACGCAAATTCAGGCACTTCGTCCTCTCAAATTGGTCTCTGAAGCGCTCCAAAGAGTCGGTAAAGCGACGCACATGTCGCCAAACTTGTCACCAGGAAAGAATGAGCGAAAGAATGAAAGAATGAACTTATCAACGGATCGCCCTGGCCCGGAATGGACGGCTGGGATAGCGCACGAGGATTTTCGGTGGAAGAGTAGCGGATCTGAAGGAATGTAGCCGGGTTACGACACACTGCTTGGATATTTTGATATCAATCGTGCAGCTTTTCTGTTGGTGCTTCATTTGGTAGACCCTAGCTCACCGATCCGGATACCACCTTTGCCTACCCGGGCGCTTTTCCAACCGGGACTGCCTTTTGGTGAAGAACTTCACGATTTTTCATAACCGTATTCCCTCAGGATGGAAAGCGAAGTGAGGGGTTTCAGTCACAGGTGTAGTCGCGAGGTCGTAGTGTACTCCTTGCAACTCCAGACCAGAACCGCCTTCTGACGTCACTGTTTGCTTTCTGGCAGCAAATCGCAATCCTGAACGGCGGATGCCTTGTGACGTCAGCAGTTGTCCAACTCGCATATGACGTGAATGCATCGTTGCGAGAAGCGGCAGCCGAACACTCTGTACTCAAGTCCATACTAAAAGCAGATCAACCAACATTACTCAACCTTACGAAGAGACTGACATTACATTTCTTCGATTCTGCAGGCGGAACTCTCTCCGCCGACGCTTCCAACGGCAACACCGGCGTCTTCGTCAACGGTCGGCAGCTTCCCTCGGTGGATCTTACCGCCCTCGAGGCGGCGGGATTCCCGGGCACTATCGGCTACTGGTGGATGGATTCCCTGGGCCGGTACGGTACCGCGGATAGTACCGTTGTGCTGGGACAGCTGTCGGCCCCAGGGAACAGAACCGGGGCAAGTACGACAACCAGCGGGACAGGTAAGAATGACGATCAACTGGGGAATTGTCAGATTGGAAAGCTCTTTATTAACTGAAGATTCCGACTGTCATGGTTTGGAAGAGACTGTTTGTGTTTCGAGATCGAAAAGGGACAGCTGTCGGCCCCGGAAGAAGAGACCGGGGCAAATACGACCACAAGCAGGACATGTAAGAATATTAAAGATTGACGAACCAAGTACAAATTAAAACTGTGGAGACGGGATTGGAAAGCTCTTATCTGGCTGTCATGGCCCGTTTGCAAGAGACTGTATATGATTTGGGATTGAATAGGTAGACGAACTGCGACGACGTATGGGAGAAGGCCTCCGGGAATCCCATGTACATCTGCTGTCCACCGTTTTGATCCCTTTTTGAGGCACACGCAAAGAGTGCAAGCTGTCTCAAACCGATGAAGAATTTCAGTGGCACCACTAATGTTTGCCCAATCCATCCTCGGCAAATAGGAAACTAGAAGCTTCGTGATCAAGGCGTGATAGCATGTCAATTTCTTCCCTAGTTCAACACCGCCGGAAGACCACGTAAGGGGGGCCCGCCCTGTCCAAGGAATTAAGGTTAGACTAATGATGAAGTGTTTGTCTTTGCGCTCAGGGACGGACACGAGTCCTTATGGCGGCTACAACTGGGGCTCCGACGTCTCGGGTGCGTATGGCGGGGGGGATACCCAGGGGGATTGGTACGTCTCGGTGGATGGTACCGATATTACCAACTTCTGAAGACTTTCTACATAAGACCTATATTCGACGCGCCTATACGACGTAAGCAGATACCTTTGCAACAGGCAGTAGATGTGCGAACGGGATGGTACCGACATTACCCATTTTTTGAGAACCTTTACGGATCTTTTTCGAAGCGCTTATGCAACGCGTGAAACGAAGGTAAGTAGACGATCAAGCGAGACGTGGTGTATGCGCGATTGGAATGGTACCGACATTACCAACTGCTGAAAACCCTCTACATAAGACCGGTTTCAACGCGCCTATAAGACGTAGATGGAAGTCGAGTAGCCCTTTTGCGATAGGCAGTCGATGTGAAACCGGGATACTACCCTTGCTACGAACTCCTAGAAGCCCTCTGTTGGGCATTTCTTTCAACGAGCTTACATGACTACAGATGAAGTAAGTTGGAAACATCTGCGATAGGCAGTAGGTGTGCGAACGAATCACCGACTTCTTGAGGTCTTCTACTGGAGGGGAGACCCTCTGAGCCGTTATACGACGTGAAAGAAAGATAAGAGGACGACCAGACGATAGGCGATACATGGGAAAACGGAACAGATCAGGTTATGGCGGTCAGCAAACAATTTCTTTTGTCAATTCGGTCAAGCTCCGGCACTGAAATGCTCGACTTTGATTTCGCGAGCCTGTTCGAAGGTCACAGGCTTTCGTGATGGTATATAGTTGCGAAAGCAACGGTGATGTGGTCGGATAATGAGTCGCGGTGAGCTTGGCAATGAGGTCCTGAAAAAGACGGGCCCAAGAACTAGAGAATTTGGATGCCGGATATATTCCTTTCCCATGACGAGCACACGTCAGATATTGAGCCTGACTTGCGCATCTGGCCATGAACCAAACGCATCCGCGATCCGCTCGGAGTTCGTTTCTGAGGACGATCCTGACAAAGATTGGATGGCAAGACCTAGCTCTCTCAGAATCGTCTCTCAGGAGGCCCTTCGGCTTTTTGTGAGAGTCATCTTACGTATTCAAAACCTCGTCACAGGCACATGCTTGCATGCTGGCGCAGCCGTCTGCAAATCAGGTTGGGCACCTGAAATTCCTGGCTCGCGGCATACGCGGCACGTATTGCAAAGACGCTGCAACGAACTTTTGAAATTCACGTTGCATGGCATCTAGCTACCGTCCTCCTCGGATATGCACGGAGATATACGCCCTCAATTTCAACTGGGCCCTTTATAAGATACCGTCATCACCACGGCCAGATATTTAAGTGGAGGGATGAGTCCGACGCTTGTTGCAGAAGAACTGCCTACCATCGAACGATGGGCGGCCAGCTAGGTTACATCCATATGATCCCTAAGGACACATGCACATGCAGTAAAAGCTTATACAGGCTAGCCTATGGCTTAGCACGTATACTAGCATCCATGGCTTTAACAGCCAGTATAGGCCGGAAACGCGCAGATCAAATCCGGTACAGTGTCAGTAGGCTCAAGTCGATAGCTTCAGCGCAGCCTGCTTTTCGCGTGCCAGAGCCAAGTATAGTTTGCAATAAGTTAGGGCCGGGCGGCCGGCACGAGGACGGTCCAATCACGCGTCACGAAGTCAGTACAAGCATGAATGGACGGTTGAATGGTACCGCAATGACATCGGCTCGTTTGAGCGCGGTGGGTAAGAAAGTACTAAACGACCGCGTGTGCATGAGGGGCATGCACCGATCATTAGCAATACGAATGACTAGAGGGAGCGGCCACGGCCGCGGCAGAAACAATGCAAGTACCGTTGCTCAGCAAACACTACCGAGCTGAGCGGAAGCTTGAACACAACAAACGCAACAAAGTACGCAGTTCAGAGTTTACGGCCTGATGAGCTCTTCTCTTGTATCTTTCCATGTCAAGAGAGCGTCCAAGTACAATCCCCTCGCTTTCCGCCGCTTCGAGTCTCGTTCTGGTTACGGGTCAACGTCCCTGACCTAACCTCAATCCGCCTTCTGCGGCCCACTATTTGAGTCCGGCAAGTCCTTCCGAAAGAACGGCCCCGGGGGCGGGCCCTTTTCCCGCAACGCCCCGCTCGGGTTCCGCTCCGGTTCCGCTGCACTCAAGTTCCGCTCCGGTTCCGCCCTGGTTACGTTCGGCCGGGCTGCGTCCCTGACCCGCAAATCCAAGCGCACCGGCTCGTACTTTTCCGACATCGCCTCCGCAATTGGCACTTTGTGCCCGTTCACCTGAGGCTTAGCCAGCTGTCCATCCGTCCCCGCTGCCACGTGGGCACCTTCATTCAGCGCCACGTGGCTCACTCCCTCCGTTTCGCTCTTCTCAACCACGTCCGGGTCGGCGCCTAAGCCGGTCGAGCCAACCGACGGTTCGCTGACGACCGGTTCTTCCTCCCGGGCAACTACCGTTGGTTTTCCAAGTGCATCAAACGCAATCCGGGTTTGTACCCTAGAGACCGTCGCCTGCTCGACCTTTTTCGCGGCCTCCTGGAGCACCCGCTGGGTCTCCGCGAGCGCGGCGAGGACGGCGGGGCTTTTGGGCATCGCGTGGAGGGCGGCCGCCGCGGCCTCGGCCTCCCTAAAGAGGGCCCTATACAGAAACAGTATGGAAAAGGTTGGTAACCCATTTTTCCTACATCTTTCCTTTTTCTCCTTTCTCGTTTCGCCGCAGGGAGGAAGGCGGGCGTGCCCCTACCCGTCGAGGTTCCCTTGTGAAAGCAAAGCGGTAGAGGGTTGAAAGCACGTTTACTGGCCACCCCCTTTCGAACAAATTGATAATCAGATGGAGTAAATACAGCTTATTCTTCTCGGATCAGAGGGTATAGAGGTTGCCGACGTAAAAGTCGATCTGACGGTAGATTGATGTCAACCTATATTCCGAAACATCTCAAAGGACGGGTTTGGTGATCGTCACTGGCGGGACCCAAGGGCAGTGATGGAATTGTTGACGCAACTCGCTTCCGTTCCGGCCCAATTTCTCAACCCTGCTTGAGGATTCGGACCTTGGAAAGCTGACACCTCTGCTGATTTCCTTCACGGGGAATGGAGGCTGATAATAACATAAAACGTTGTCTGCCACTCTATGAAGCGGAGTAACGGGTTTGACGTATTGCGACGTCGTATCGCATTCTCGTATACCAAAATACCAAAGCAGCGCCCTAGAAGCAGCACAAGCGTGACCTCTTTACAACAGACGACCTTCAGAAGCTAGCGATCCAAAAGCAAACAACTAGAAAGGGGAGACAGAGTTGCGTGATGCTTGCCTGGCTTCCTCGGCCAACTCCCGCCTTCGCGCCTCCAGGGCCTTCATATTGCCCAGTGTCTCCGTCCGCTTCAACTTCTGCAAAAGCGAAAGCGAAATCTGCGTCAGGAGTCTGGTAACTAAAGAGTGACTTAACAGCGGGGTGACTTAGGATAGGCACCGGGGAGACGGGTCGGGTTAGCATGGTGGTTAGGGTGGGTTCGGGTGCGGAGCGGGTGATTATTTGGGTTAGGTTTTTGTTTGTTTGGTCGGAAATTGTGTATTTTAAGTCACTCACCCGTTAAGTCACCCCGGAGTTACCAGTATCGCATCAGGTCGAGGATTCAGGGGCGAAATGTTTGGCAGCTTTTGTAGTCAAGGGTTAGGCGAGAAAGATGAAAATCCCTTGAGTTCGTGAAGGGTTCATGTTCATGCTAGCTCTTAAGCAAAGCAGGACTCGAGCTGCAATGTCACGTAGGCTCCTGAAGTGCACCATGCATCTATGCTATTTAGATCCAGCCTGGAAGCAGCAGCCCTTTTGACAAGGCCACTCATTAAACCCTGAAACATGGATCCCAGAATCAGACCCCTCTACTGAACTATATCATGTCAAAGCCCCAGCAAAACATCAGCGCGCCTGTACCGCACCCAAGGTTGTTACCCCGTGCTCCGCTTCCGGACACTCCGATTTTCCGACCCTAGAAAAGATTTTCAATACTATCCTCAATTCCTTCTTGAGATTGTGAACCCGAGCCTCGAACCCCCACCTTTTCCTGCCAGCGCGCCCGTATCGCATCCGAGATCCTTTGCCGGTGCTCCGCACTCCGGGGCCGTCTTTCCGTTACCATTTTCGCGCGCGGCTTTCTCGCTCGGACCCGATACGCTTTCCACCAGTTTTTGGATTCCCTCGCCGCGACCGCGTTTGCGTCCCGCCACATCGCCAGCACGTAATGTGACACCAGCCGTTGTGTTTTTCGCCGCTCTATTTGCTCCTTGAAGAGCCCTGGAGTGCGGGGCTGCCGGATGTGCCTGCAACAGGGACGCACGTCGTATGTTGCCTCTTTACCTCTGGTCGTCCTTGTCCTTCGTTCTGTCGGTAGCGATGGAGCAAAGCGTCGCTGAAGCGGGTCCTTTTGACAGGAAGCGAGGGTTCTTCGCGGGGGTGTTTAAAGACAACTATCCGTTGCCAAACGACGATGACGTGCAAACGTCTAGAAAAGGTCATGCAATGTTTTCCACTTGGAAGAAGGGCGTTCCAAATAAATCGTCGACGGCGTGCTGCTCCGTCAATTGGAACAGTGGACTGCCGACAGATCCATTTTGCACACAAACAGACTCTACGAGGTCCCAACTTTAGACATCTAGACGACCGTACTTGACAAACACACTAATTGCGCAGTGAGGTCTGCAGAGGAACTAAAGCGGGGTGGCACAGACGGACAAAAAAAAGCGAAGACATCTAAGCGGTCTGGCCAGTACTCTGCAAACTGGACCGTACTAGACTACGAAAAGGCAACAATCTCAGCGCGTTTAAAACAAACTTGAGGTAGAAATGGGCGCAGATCTTACCTGCGAGACACCCAGCCTTCCGCATGCTTCCGCTCGAGTCGCTGCAGCGTCTTGGGATCCTTCATCGCGGCCATCGTCCGCTCCCTAATGCGTTGTTTCGTTTCTGCACGGGAAACCCACAGCCGTCAGATCAGAGGACTCTGACCGGCTCCCGATCGTCCAATAAGGAACAACGATTGTCCTCGTTGTTTCTTTCCATACAGTTCACGACGCCAGCTCACGCTCCTTGAGCACTTCCCGTCACCTTCGAAGTGATGCTTGCCCGTATTGCCCCACACGCTTCCCCTCGTTTGCAAGCGCAAATTCGGATGCTTCGATCATGTACCCTTCTTCTTTTGCAGATCAAATGACTTAATCGGGCCCCACAAGTCTAAAACAGCCCTCGAAGACAGGCCCCTCACCTCCCCGAGTGATGCTAGCCCATTGTTCCACGCTCACTGCCCGTCATTCGCCAACCTAGTTCCAAAAGTTCAAACGACTTCTCACCGGCTCATGCAAGTTCAAGACCAAACGCGGGGAGACATTCCAGCCCTTAACGCAGTCCCCCTCACCTTCCGAATGGTGCTCGCTCTTCTCCCACGCGCGCTTCCCCTCGTTCGCGAGTCAGGATTTCGCCTATTGACGTAAAATACCCCTCTCCACCGAATCAGGATTGAGGTGCCGAATGTCGGAGCTAACACCACGCCCCCTCACCTTCCGAGAGAACTTTGCCCTTGTTCCATGCGCGCTTCCCATCATTTGCAAGCCCAACCCCGGCTGGATCACATACTGGAAAGGTAGAAGCTACCGAACAACAATTCGTTTCTCTTCGTCTCATGCAGGTCAAAGTTCCAACCCGGAGACACAATCTCAACCCTTCTCAAGCACTTCCCCTCACCTTCCGAGTGATGTTTACCCTTGTTCCATGCGCGCTTCCCCTCGTTTGCGAGCGCAATCCTGGCCCGTCTCAACACTTCCCCCTCGTCGATTACCTCCCCATGGATCTCCGCCTTTAGCCGCACCCGCTGCAGCGCGGACTCGGGAACGTTCTCAACGTACCGCACACTCCGTTCCTTGAACCGCGCGCGCACTGGTTTTGAATCAGAGTTGTCGTTCTCCTGCAAAGTAGGAGCTTCTGAATCATTGATGCCTTACATTCCTGAACCGCAGACGTCGTCCTGACAATGCGGGAGACTATTGCGCGGCATAAAACGAGCCTAGCGATTCCAAGGACTGCATGCAGCGTTCCTTGAACCGAACACGCGCTGGTTGGGAGTCGGGGTTGTCGTTTGACCCCTGCAATACGGAGCTTATGAATAAATCACTTTTCACAGGGCTTGAACCGCAGACGTTGTCATGACAATGCAAGGGACCGTTGGGCGGCAAGAATAAGAGAAGTGGCGATTTCCAAGGACTGTATGCTTCGTTCCTTGAACAGCACGTGCGCTGGTTTCGAGTCGGGGCTGTCGTTCGACCCCTGCTAATATGAAAAGCTGTTGAGGTTTTCTTTCTCTAGCCACGCCACGCCTAGAACAACGTATTCTGTCAAAAGCGGAGGGGAAATTTGGGCTTGCGAATGTGGAGGATGTGGAAAATCTGCAAGCACTGCACACTGCGTTCTCTGTACCGCACATGCGTCCGTTTCGAATCAGCACTGTCGTTTCTGGCCCGGCAATCATGATGGTCATTGCGTAACTCCACGTCGATTACATTCACTACGGTCTTTGCAATGCACAAGTGTCTTCGAGCGGGTCTTCCCGTCTTCGTTTCTGACCTTTTAGATGGGTCCTAGCGGCAACATTACGTACCCTAAGAATAGAAGAACTCCTGCCCTCACGCAAGAGAGGTCAACCGGAATCCTCGTGCAATAAGGATTGCTCAATCAAATTTGCTAAATAAGCAGAAAGCGCTCGAAGATATGAAAGAAGCTCAGATGCTTGACGACAGGGGAGGAGAATATCAATCGACTGAAGGCAAGCGGAAAAATGGGCGCATTCCTCACCTCTGACGTTGATTCTTCATCCAAATGCCCGTTAAACTGGATCGCCTCGCCTGGCGCCTGCATAGTTGAAGGGGGAAATCAATCACTGAAGGTAAGATTACATGAGCAGTGGAACAAGAACGCAGATACATGCGGAAAGCCGTGTTGCCCCAGAAAGAGTCGGCGCTTCCGAAGTTCCTGCCCTTCGAGTAGTGACAACTTATAAGCACCTATTAGTGGGGCCTTTGGAGGGCCAACCAATCATTCAAAAGACGCCAGGTGAAAAGTTGTTCAAAAGCGAATGGGGCTTGTGCTTGGAAAGGGAGTGGGTGTTGAATCTTTCGTAATGCCGCCCTTATTGACTGGGCTGTGTTTACGTGAGTCAACTAGCCGCGCAGGCCATACCATGGACAACTTGGAGTTCAGCCGCAGCACATTGGAATGACCGCCGAAGCGCACAGTCGTTCAAGGCCCGAGGTTCTTTCAGCCGTTTCGAGAGCACTTTGGACCGACACCTTTTTGAATCATTCAGATATGCAAGAGAAAAGAGTGCAGGAAAGTGGGGGGAAAGAGATCGACAGACCAGAAAAAAGAGTGAGTCACCAAGGCAGTACAAAAACAGGACGACGAGGGGATTGGGAGGGGGAACATATAGAAAGAAAGGAAATGGGGAATCAGATCAATGGAAGGGCAAAGCCGGAACTCACCATGCTCATTGCAGGCTGCAGTTCCTCTTCTTCGGCAGTCAGCCATGTCTGGCTCTCTGTTTCTAAGGTGTTGAGAGCCGTGGCACGCAAGGGCCCTCCGAACCTGACCAGAAGCAGATGGTGTTCATGTAAGCAGACCAGATTACTAGTCTTGGAAAAAAGTTGGTGGTAGTGTGGGCCTGCCGTACCGTCACCGCGGGATAGAACGGCGTGTTTGCAAAGACAGAAGGTTCTGTGAAGGGTCTGCTCCACAATACAATGAACAGAGGCAAATTCCGATCATGCCCTTGAGCCCATGTTGGTGAAGAGTTTGATGATCAGTGAGGCCTTGCATGCAGTATGAGTATAGCAGGGGATTACTGTGGTGCATGTCACTTGTACAAAGCGTTTACTTGGCTCCTAGGTAATTGAGAGAACGCCCCTTGAAAAAGTGCTCGATACTGTTAGGACTGTCTGAACACTTGCTGCAGCCGGAGTGCCTCAAGCCCCACTGCATTCTCCGCACTGAAGGATTAAGAATGTCGAATGTCAACCACTAAAGATTCAGTCGTTCTTAAGCGAAATTTTCAGGCACCCAGGCGGAGCGGGTTGAGTGTTTAGGTGCAAGCCTTCCGACTGCTTTAAGTGAAGCTCTTGAAATGGAGTTCGGATGCTTTCAATGCTCTAGAGTCTCATCGCTGCAAACCCTGCTAGCCCCGGATTGAAGAACCCAGATGACAATCAAACATATTTTAATGCTGCATGTGCAAACGCAAGGTATTTGCAAGCAATCGGTGGTGCGATTGCTCCCTCATTCTCGTCCTAATGTCAAGTGGTGGTACAAAAAGTTTATTAGCGCTCAGATTGATTACGAAGAGGCGCTCCTCTGTTGGTTTGAGAGAAGCTACTCTGCTTTCCAGCAAAACCATGCCAATCTGCTTTATTTTGAGGCAGAGTCCTACCTGTTACCCTTTGCTCGCTGACCGATTGTCCCGTCCAATGCAAGCGTTTCATAGCCCAGACGCAGAGGCCTGAAAGACGAATGTGACATCAGACGCCTGCTACGGCGCCACCCTACAGCAGAGTCTGCCCTTCCTCTTGTTCCCCAATTGCATGGCACACCTTCCTTCAACTTTGCAAGATGCTTCCGATTTGTAAGCCCTTTGGAAGGGAGGGGTAGAAGAATAGGGTTTGCACGTTGCAATCCGTCTGTGCTGCTCCATGGCCAGTGCAAGCAGATGCGATGCTGGCTCCTCAACAAGGACTCCGCAGCCATGACATAGGTTCACGCTGCACCTGCTAGCTTTGCGACTCAGCTATGTTACCATGCCCTTCGATTGTTGATTCAATAGCTGTCAATGGCATAGAAATTAAAGGCCAGCCCCTCTGGACAGCTTATCTCTCAGTCCTTTCGTGATAGCATGAGGGCTAATCTGCCACACTGATTCAAGGAGACGCTATGGATGTTCATCTCAAAACAGATTGCTTATGAGCTGCGGTCTCTGCTAACTATTGGCTGCGTCCGAAAAAGATGGCCGCAGGATGCCTTTCAAAAAATGTCTTATCCTCCGGTTAGCTCTATAAAACCGATTTGCTGCCGTAGCTGCCCTCCAATGCAGGTCCTCCAAACCAATTGCCCGCAAGTTCCCAAGGCACCTGAGTTACGTACAGGGGGACATACAACGCTACACAGCCTACAGCCTGCAGGAACTTAATTAAAGCCTTTCCTTTCCTTCCCTCACCACATGAGCCATGAATTCTCATGAGAAGCAAACAGCCATGCAAGTTTGCGTTCAAGTAGGATAGAACCGGGCTTCCACTCCGCTTAACCGCGCCGGCAGTTCTCAAGGATTCTAAAACAGGTTTTGACTGTGGTAAAGGTGCAGGGGGTTTGCGGTAAAGGTTGAACACTCTTAGACGTGCTGGCCGCTGCTCAGGCGCGCGGGCCGCCACAGAGTCATGTTTCAGTGGGTGACGAGTCAGTTCATAATAATAATATATAATTGCATTTATAAATTTGCAAGCTCAGCGTTACTTGCATTACGTGCGTGCGCTTGGGCCCACCGCACGCGCGGTACTTGCCCCGGGGCGCCGCTGGGCCGCAGGCGGCCCGGGCCTGTTGCGCCGTCGCGGAGCAACCCCGGGGGCCAGTACGTGCCCCGGCCGCTGTTCGATACGGCGACATACCATCGAAAATAAATGATCACTTTTGACGTATACAATATTAGGTGTTCACAAATCTGCGCCGCCGCGCGGGGGCGGCAGCCAGTCACGGTGGCAGCGGCAGCTACTACTGGTAGCCTAGACTCAGCTAGCTATTATTGGGCCTGGTCTACAGGGTGTGGCAAATTTTCAGCCTTCACGGTAGGGTTTACCTATCGTCGAACTCGAGCAATCGTTGCAGACTGCCGCAGCCCACAAGCGCGGCCAGCGGCGTCGTACTGTGTCGCCCAAACCGCGGCTGGGCCTAAACCTAAAACTGGCAAGCCAATAGGTATGCTGCATGCATAATGCAGCATCCTCGGACCTAGCTGACTTTCTGACGCCATCCTGAAGGCATCGAGCAGGTTCAGACTATATACCGGTTGTATCTAGTACAGCATTATGCTATATACTACTAGCAAACTGGCACCATTGGCATAAGGGCAGTACAGCAGCAAGTTGAACAGGCGGACAAACCACCAAAGACAATGTACAAGGACAGACTGGAACAAAGTTGAAGGCCAGCAATCTTTCGTGCTTGGCCGAGATCTATGTGCTCGAGTTGCCAGCATTGCTCACTCAGCACTGCGGAAGGGCAGCATTAGATGAGATCTACCAACAAGCAACACCGATCTCCGGAGTGGCAGCAGGCAATGCCTGCCTCCTGGGTGCAGTCGGGCGTTGACCTGTTTTGCTAGCAGATCTCATTGACAAGCTGGACAGGTGGGGATCATGTACTGCATTCTGAATTTATAAGTGGATTATCCTGTAAGATCTGCATCAGCAACATTGCGCGGGCGCAAAAAATTGTTTGAAAAAGACAGCCAGTAGGTAACGTTGCTTAGCACATCAGAATGCGCACGAGTGGTTGGTCCAACAGAGAGCAGGCGTTGAATGCAACATGTCATGACTTGTCAGATCTAGTGACTAGTTGCAGCAGAGTTGCAGCAGAGTCTGTTTTCCAAGGCGAGCGCAGGATCAGCAACCTAGCTCATGATGATGTACTACTCAATGACAACCCATCACTCCTCATCAAGCAGCCTGTTTTCTGGGGCAAAACAGATGTCAAGAGCGTCCAAACATACCTTCAGTTTGCTCATGTGCTTTCTCTTGTCCTAGTAACATTTGATTCGTTGTGATGAAAGGCAGCATTGTACAGAGCCTGAGTGTTCCAGCTATTCCTGTTGAGGAAAACTCTCATACACCATCTATGCTCAAGCTCTTCTCGAATGGCAGCTCGCAGCTGGCCGGGGGGGATCAGGGAGGCTCCATGGAGTCCCTGTTGAGGGCCAAAAGCTTCTGGAAGCAGCTCACACTTGTGATTGCTATGTTTGCGATCGGACCTGCACTGGTTTACAACCACCGTCTTCTCAGGTACTGGCCCTCTCACTCATCTGGAGGGCAAGAAGCGTAGCCAGCGTTGGACAGAAACAAGCAGTCTGTTTGAAATGCTTGGTGCATTGTCTTGGAAGGATGTAGTGGTTCCAGCTCAGGCTGCTGGTGCCTTTAATTTATGTTTGTCAAGATGTTTTGCACGTCAGTAGATAGGCTCGAAAGTGAGGCCCTCAAGAGCACGCATGTCGATTGGATGCACCTGAATCATAATTCACGTCACAATTTGCTTCATCTTTGGTCATATATATCACTCTGCTTTTGCAGAATCCAACTGCTAGAGCTTCACCAGCTCACGCTACCTGTAAGTCAAAGCCTGAAGCAAAACCATATGGTAAGCAATAGCCAGCCCTTTCTCACTTCCGTGAAATAAGTTGACTCCGGTTGGAAACCAGTCTGGATAAGTTGTTCCATGCTGGTTTGAACAACCACTGAGCAATCATTGGTGCATTAAGAGCAAACCTACCTTGCTTGTCCCTGCTAGCCCTCAGTGGTGGGAGACTTCTCAATTGCTCCTTGAATAACTCAAAGTGCCTGGCAAAATCCACAATCGGTCTGCTATACCTCATTTCCAGCGCAACTATCGAGCACCCTTAGAATTGGACGAGCCCCAATGTACCACCCAAAGATGACACCTTTCTGGATGTAAGGTCTAGTCAGAGCCCCCCACCGTCTTTGGCAAACGTTCTGATCATCCCTTGACCAACATCTGTTCGTGCATACATGCAGGTTGCTCATGAGTCAAAGTGGGACTCGAGAGTTGTCATTGTCCCAGCTGTATACCGTGACTGGCAGTGGGGCGAATGGCCCTCTTGGACTGCAAACCGGAGCATACATCTGTACCAGCGCACAACCCCCTGGGCACCACAGTACTGCCAGAACACTGGCATGGAGGCAGGCGTCTTCCTCAAGTTCATCGTCGACCACTACGAGGATCTTCCTGAGCAGACCGTCTTTGTCCATGCTGAGTAAGTCTCCACTCTTTTGAAGTGGCTTGAGCATCTTCGACCATGAAGTTTGCATGCACCGCAATCGAGGCTCATCCTTCCTTGAAACCTCTTTCGACTTGAACAAGAATGTGGTTTGAGCACAAACCTACAAGCAGTCAACCTGTGCAATGCTTCCATCAACCCATCGAGATCAAGCACCGTAGATCATCTCTTGTGTTTGTTTGTAATCATTTACCAAGCATGCTATATCAGCCGTCTGGCGACTTCCTTTCGGTTGTCCAATGATTGTCCAAACCCTCGAACGGGTGTCCAAAACGCCGGCAGTCTGGCGGTGACTCTGCTTAGAGTCCATGTCCAGACTCCGTCCAGAAGTTGTCCAACAGTGTCCAAAGCCCGTCCAGACCTCAAGAAGGTTTGGACAGGCTTTAGACACATATTAGACAAAGTGCTTTCTCACAGTGGTCGCTCCGGGACGGAGTCACATGACGTGGTGGCAAAGTGCATAATTTCTAGCCCTCGCATCGGTAAGCTCAGTTCGTGCTCAAAAACGGATGTAGCATATGCGTTGAAGATTAGAGCTTGCTTGACTCGCGTCACTGACCGCTTCTTTCTTTTGCAGCCCTGCAAAACACAATGCTGACATTCTCACGTGGATCGACTGCTTGAGCCCTATTGGCCTATCGTAGACAAGTCTCAATACCAAGTGGATCCCGGAGAGGCGGATCGGCGACTGGACCACGTGGCCCTACCACCCGGGAGTCGCCGGGCAGCTTCCTCGCCTCGAGCAGTGCTGGCGAGACGTCGCAAACATTTTTGAGAAACCATTAACGGCCGAACCTGCGCAAGAGCTAGTAGTGAGCTTCTATTGCTGCCTGCAATTCGCCGCAAGTAGAGATGTGTTGCGCCGCTACCCTTTGGAAATGTGGACACGGGCTTATCAGCTCCTAGGTCTCGATCAAAGATGTGTAGAAGGGCCGATAGATGCAGGGAGCAATTGGGCCCTAGCTTCAGGTCTGCCTGACGAGGAGCCTCCGCGAGACTGGTTCTCTGGGAGTTGGGAGAGCAAGCTCATACAAGGTATGGCTCTGGAGCACGTCATCTCCGTGTTGTTGAACGACGAGCCGCTCAACAGTACTCCATACACGCAAGAACATTATTGCAAGAATTTTTTGCACACGTCCGTATGTCCCGGCAGCCCCTGTGGAAACGAGGTCCCCATCAGGCTGACTGGATTTTAGGACTCTAGCCTAGGGATTGCGAGATCAGACTTTGTGAGAGCAAGACGCGTATCAGCTTCAATTAATTTGCGCCCCATGCAGTGGGAGAGGGGCGTGCACGGACAGGCAGCTAGGAGAGATCAGTACAATCGTGTATTGAGAATAGAAAAAGCTCGATTCTCCCTGATCAGAAGTGCAACCGGTCGAAGTCACTAAAGTCACGGTGCAGCTAAGTACTCCAGTCGAGAGTGCGCTAACCGTAGGGATCTAGGCGTTCCGGGAATAGCATAGGGATTTTGTCTTCCGATGAGAGTACATTGAAATCCCTCTTAAAATTGATTGTAGACAAGGAAAATAGACTCTGCTTAATATTAGTTTCATCATGTAGGTGTATCGGTATGTTCAATGCAGGTGTTCGTCGTGAAGACGTTTGATTGATCATTGCTACGTACGTACTGCATGTACGTACGCGCGAAAGAGCTCTTCAGCTCTTGCCGCCGACCCGGTGTGAGCAATCGTGCGCGGGGCGGCCGCCCTGATCAAAGACACATGCAGCGCTGCAACGTGTTTTGCAACAGCTCCTGGCCGCACATGCGCGCGAGAACCTCTCGATTCAAACTGGCGCATGTTGAGCTTGTCCCACATCGACATATATTGCAATCCATTATCGTATATCGACTGGCTGATTGCAAATCAAGCACGCCAGCTTGAAGATTGTGACGACGTTGCAATCTGACTTCAAGTCGACTCTGTACGTTATAGCAAATGGAGCATCTTTACGCAAATAGGTACGGTATCATGTATACATATGTACGAGAGCTATCATGTATATAGGACCTACATATATGAGAGTATACATGTTCAGATTCCTGATCCCGCGCGATGCACGCAACTTCAGGACCGTCCGGCCGTTCCCAATTTTAGGACTTGGAACATGATTCACAGCCGTAGGCCTTGCCTCTCAAAGCAAATATTTAGCCTATGCGCACGCAAAGCCAGCCTAGTTAGCTCCTTCCGAAGCAAGACTTCCGCCCTTCCGTGCTTGCTTTCAAGGTCCGATTGCTATGTATATATGATGCTACACTTACGCACTTCTTGTCATGTAAAAAGCTCGTGTACAAATCTGCAAGGCTTCCGTAAAATAGCCACGGACGTTGGCTGATTATGTACAGTTCCAGTTGGATAGAGCCAATCGATGGTCTCAACATAGATCCGAGACTGCTATGCAAACGGTTCCGTATCACATGACGGAGCACTTGTCATCCTTTGACTTCGAGTCCTTCGACTTCCCACTCTTGCCTGTTGCGCTGCTGGAACTTGACTGCTGCAAGAAAGCGAATCAAGAAAACTATATTAGACGCTGTTTGTGATTTGTCGTATTCTTGTTGTCTTAGCTGAGGCGTCTTATTCTCTCCGCTCCACATCTCAGTGAGAACGATTGGCAGATTAATGGTCTCATAGCGTCTTGCCAACAACAGAGGCTGAACAAGTATTCTCAGTTGTTAAGATGGATATGGTAAGTGCTTTCGACGCCAGCACATATGGGTCATAGCGCGCAGATGATACATACGCAACGAGAAGGGTTGCAGACTCCGGAGACAAGAGCTCCACGAACTCGACATATGACCACCAGAGAGAATTCCCCTCCTCCGCATCACTAGCTGCACTTCAGAAACAATTGCATCACGCCCACATAGCCTGTATAATCATGCAACGAATCAGCTCGGCAACCAGACGCAAATGAGGATTCACTGGAGGAACTCCTCCAGTCGAGAATGGAAACAAGACTCTTACTTTTGCTCTCCTCCCAGATACTGGCTGCGGTTCAGGCGGCCGTTGCATCGCCTCCTGTTGCCGCCTCCGCTCTGCCGCCTCCGCCTGTTGAGGGATTGAGTTAGCAGGAAGAGTTGAACAAATGATAAATGACCAGGCGATGCCCAGCAAGCATGAAAGTGGTGCAAGAAGAACGTGGATATCGAGTTGCCGTGTTGGAAGCCCCCCCCCCTTTCGGTACCCCCCGTATGAACGGCAGACTTTGAGCTTTTCTTAGATCTGAAGTATTGATGTGGGGGGTATCCAGTGGACGCGAGGTTCAGGTCAAACTACTTGAGATCCTTGTTTCTCCTTCCATAGGCTCGGACACTTGCCGCAAGGCAAAGCCGCTGTGACAAGACTTCGTTTGAGCCATCAAGGGCAATCAACTAATGCACGCAACGCAGCTGCCGAGTCCCGCAACACGAAAGTCCGACACGTTCTTACAAAGCAAACGAGAGAAGTGTGGGTGACTCCTCCTTACCAGCTGCGCTTCCTGGGCCGCTAGCATATCCGACTCCTCCTGTTGCAGCGCCAAAGCGTATTGCAGATCGGCGTCTACGGGGGGGTGGTTTCGGGCGCCATCGGACGGGGCCTGGTAGTCGTCCGGCGGGCGGTACAGCTGGAAGGCCCCGGTGACGAAGGTGGTGTCGCCATCAACCTGTAGGAAACGTGTCCATGGGCGATTAGGAGGGGTCTGCCCCACGTGGCTTGCGGCAGATCCCAGATTGCGACTGCCCGCTGCTGCGATCGGAACCGCGTGGCTTCTGTGAGCGACTACAAAAGCCTGGATTTCCGCTTGCCCTGTCTGGCTCGAGCACAGGAAACACCCCCGAGGATCAGAAACAAGCACTAAGGTGGAAACAACGGTTGCTTTGCGGATATGAAAACAAGTTTCAAAAGAAGAGAGTACAAACTCACCCCGCTCAGTTTCTCCCAGACGAGGCCCGATTGATGCAGGTAGCCCTGGTCGGTGGCGAGCAGGTACAGCTGGCCGTCGTAGCGGAACATGGTGTTGAAGTGGTTGTTGCGGAAGAACACGCACAGCTCTCGCTCCTGCAATTGGGCGAGTGACACGTGTCAGAACAGGGCGCCTCAATCAACCGGGCATATTTGACACTTCGGCCGAGTCCTGTCAGATTCAGGAAGAAGCTGCTGAAGAAGAAAACGACGGTGGCAAAAAGGCAATCGCGACCCGTTCTCACTACCAACTTATGAGGCATCTGGACGAGAATGAACCGCGGATGCCAAAACGAGGCCTCTCAAGAGACATGACAGAAGTGTGCGAGTGCGAGACTTGACTGACGAACGAGAATCATTAATCAGCTTCAGAAGGGTAATCTTATCCTGGAACGGTCGAACTCCTGAGAGCAATCGCAGAGCGAGCCACCTCGACTTCAGCTCCGGAAAAAGAAGGAAGGCAAATTTTGGCCGGCTGACTCGAACAATACTTCTAACTTATTATCGTCTATTTTTCCGCATTGCACTTCCACTAGTTCGACAAACGCCTCACGCGCTCAGATCAGCTGTCCGAATTCAAGTGAAAGGCGGTGAAAGTCACAAACGCCGAGGAGTCACCTTTATCCCCTCGTGCAATTTGACCAGCCCGTGATACGTCAGCTGGCTGGCCGTCGACTCCAGAAACGCCTGGATCGCACGCCCCTCCCGCGCTTTCCTCCGCGTCTCCTCCGAATCAGACGCCTCGGCGCCCCCGCTACTGCCAGTCCCGCCCCCTTCTGCGGACGTGCTCGCCTCCTCTCCAGAGGCTTTGTTTGCGACTTCCGCTTCTGGCTTGCTATCCTGATCACCACTCGGCTCCAGTTCTTTGCTTTTCTCGCCACCAGGAACTGTCACCACCAAAGACTCTGGTGTTGCGCTGGGCGTCTTTATGCCCCCCCCACGGACCGAGTCTGCAGCGGTCTCGCTAGCTGCCAGGATCCCACCGACCGACGACCCCCTTTCTACGTCAATTGACCCTTCGGATCCCCTTCCAGTTTCCGCCGTTTCAGCCGCTCCCACGACCGCTGCTCCACTCCCCAAGCCACCAGAGTTTTCCGCTGTATCAACCACTTCTGAAGCAGCAACCGCTGTTTCTTCCCCCATCTCCGCCGCCGCCTTTTCGTATTCTGTCAAATCCGGATGCGTTACCCGAACAAACCCGTCCTCGTCCGACTCCGTTTCCTTTCCGGGGGGTGGATCGGCACTCTCGGCTGCACCCCCCAGCGAGAGTTGGATCGCAGCAGCAAGCGCGGCCGCCTCTTCCTCCCCTCCTTTACCCTGGATCTGCTCCCTTTTGTCCACAGTGAGCTGCGAGTCTGCCCCAGCGGCAGACTTATCTTCCGATTTTCCTACTATTTCGGTTTCCTTCACGCCCTGCAAATCATGCCCGGCTGCTTGGCTTGATCGAGGGCCTGGCTGCGCGGTTTCTCTGCTCGCTGTGCTTCCCGCGGAATACCCGCTTGCCCCATGCACGCTGCCGAGAGCCATGGCGCTGAGAGAGCTTGCCAGCTCTGCAGCCAGATCTTTCTCCTTGGACGACCCCTCGTTTCTGCTGACGGCCGGCTTGGAAAGGTCTTTGCCAGACCGGGAGCGCAGGGAGTCGATGCGCGTGAGGTCGAGATCGACGCCGGAGCACTGCAAGTCCACCAGCTTTTCGACCAGGTTGTTGTAAGAGGATGCACCGATTGCTGCGGCCGCTTCTTTATCCTGCAGTCAACCAGGTACTAGGATATTCAAGACCAAGCTGCGTTATGTTTGCGACCTTCTCTACATTGTTGAAGGGGTACAAACTGCGGCTGCGGCCACTGCGTTAAGCTGAAGAAGAAGCAGACCAGTAGAACCACTAGAGCAAAGGTATGGGAGCTCGATGGAGAAAGCTTAGGTCGGAAAAGCTTAGTACAGTAATGCAAGTGGCTCTAGCTGAGCAAGTAAGAACAGGGTGTCTCTCAATTGCCGGGCTCGTCTTCTCATCCTGCTTCTGTTGCAGACCCTGGTGTTAACCAGATGAAGTAATCCAAGTAACAAACAGACTTTGACATTGTGGCATGCCAATGGCTAGGTGTCTCGATACCATCGTGCTTTTGACTTCAACGGCTTTTGCACAGAAAGGTTTGCCTCCCATGAAATGGGGAACCTTGATTTTGACCTGGTTTTCTGCTTTTGTCCAAAAATGGGAGCAAAGAGAACCCGTTGAATCTGCCAAGCTCCCAACAACTTGCAAAGCATCTTTATCTTGCCAGCGGGTTTGGGACCCTACAAGGAGGCATTGTTGGGAACTAGAAATGAAAAATTTTCATGTGCTCTGATTGGAGACGAAACATGATGCGCTGAAAATGCCCACAGTCATTGAACACTTGTTCTGAATTGAGATGCTGATCAAGCAGGGCCAGTCCGCAGCCAGGCTATTGCAACATTGTCTGCCAATGTGCACTTCACTTGGTTCAAAAGAATGGGATGTTGGATGCAACCAACAAAATTGCTCTGCAAAACAGTCCTGTTTCAGAATCACAGCCCCCCTGATTCACAAGACAAGTAGGGTAGGACAAGATCCCAAAGCAAAGCATATCTGAAGCACGAAGCGTAGAGAACCAATGCATTGAGAAGGCTAGAAGATGGAAGTGGAAGAATGAGAAGCTTACCTGAGGATCGACGAGCCAGCCGTGGACCAAGCTGATGTCAAGCAGATCAAAAATTGCGCACTCCGAGGTGAACTCAAAATCAACGACGCTTCTGAAACGCACGTTCACATCAATCCCCGTCGCCAGTTTCGGAAGCAGCGCAATGGCATCACTAATGTTCTGCTGCTGATTGCTGACATAAGCCGCATCTTTTCCGCTGACGTTCAAATTAGTATCAAGGAGCCTCTCGGCCACTAGTGACATCAGCCGACTCTCAGATATCTCTCCCGCATCCTGGTGCAGCTGCAATTGATTCCGGAGGAGCAGGACGTTGGCGATTGCCAAAAGGGGGCACGGCCCGTTCTTGTTCTGTACGATGACGGGGACCTCCCTTCTAAAAAAATGGACCCTCTTGATGAGATAGCTGAGCTCTAATCCAAGGCTGCCAGCTGCTCCTGTCGCCTGCGCCGCCATGGCAAACTGCACTTTGTGGCCTACTGCGCCAGGCTAACTGTCAGTGTCAGGGCCCAGGCTCCCCCACTCGCCAGCTATTGAAAGCTCCCCAATTGGGTTCAATTGGCGCCTTGAATGTGCAACCTGACACTGACATAAATTCCTGGGCAAACGAAACCATGAAGTCAAGCGCAAGAGAATCTCAAAGCCGTGTTTCTCTATACGCCGGACAGGCTGATGATACGCGATAATATTATATCAAACGCTATGGGGCATGATAATTAGGGTTCCGCCAAGCAGCTCCGCTGCACCTCCAGGTGGTGCTAGAGCCATATGTGCTCATGCAGGGCAACTGCTCAGCTGCGCATTCCTGATGCTTGGCGAGACGTTCTCTTGACGCCCTGGGCGGCAAGAGAAGGAGCTGACACGACATTGTTATGCTTAGTCTCCCTGGATTGTGAATAGGGTAGGATGGCCCTCTTGGGAGAAGCGAGTTAGGAGGATGCAGGCCTTTCTTTGCTGAAGTGAGAGTCTGAATCGTGGTCTGCGAAAATAATGCAGCTTCGATTTTGGAGGCCAAGTTCTTCGCTTCGGCCTTTAGAATGACCGAAAGACCAGACCACACTCTGAGATGATGGCTAGCACTGCTGAGCCAGTGAAACCAGCGGGGGGTGCAACAATTGAAGCTTCTGCGCAGAAGATGGGTGCGTCAAGCGAGAAATCTGCAAAGAGATTTCAGAATTACATCCGAGGGGTGCACACGATTGTCGGGACGCAGGACTATTTGAGAAAGTCTGCAAAGTCGAGCTTGGTGCTCTTTGGCAGGGATCACGAAACCGCAGAAGCGACGAAGACCGTCTCATTCAAAGTGCAGCTCAGGGCAGAGGAACTCTACAACAAGTGAGCACGACTTGTGCCCTGCGTATCAGTTAAAATCTTCTCCATTTGCAATGCACTTATGCTTTCTTGCACTGCTGGTCCACATAGGGCTGGGGCCTTCTCATTACTGCTCGGCACTTATGCCTCCCTGCAGCCAGTGATTAAGAGTGCAGAGAGGCAGTTCAAAGTCAAATTCTGAGCTTGATGTATCAAGACCCTTGAGCACCAGGGCTTTTCTACTGGCAGCTCCAACTTCTGACTTGGTCTCTGGTTTTCCAGCTCGTTTCAGCTGTCACTTGGTCTTTACCCCCAGCTCTGCTAGGACAAAAGGCAGGATCAAATCCCTGCTCAGGCCAATCAACATTGATCGAAGAACAACGAAACTCAGTCAAGTGACGAATCACTGAGCAGACATTTGCACCAGGACTGCATAAAGGGGATTTTCAGGTGCCTGCTGTGAAGGCCCTTCTTAAATATAAACCGAAGAAACAACGATTGAAACGACTGGCTGGTACAGGTATATGAAAAAGTGGATTCTGGCGCCGGATGGCCGATTTCGCAGGCGGTGGGATCTGCTGCAGATGCTTTGCATGTTGTACATAAGCATTGTGATCCCTTTCAGAGTGGTAAGCTTTCTAGTCACCTGGAGACACTCATGCTTCCACGGCGTTTTGGTTCCTTCTTCATGCATCTTCTTATGAGCAAGTTGTGGGCTGGCAAAACCATTTCCCATCTTATCAAAATCAAGTTGGCCTCTGATTGAGGAGAGTGGTAAAGATGTTCGCGCGGTGAACACGGAAATTAGCTAAGCTGATCAAAGTCTTGTAAGTCCTGCCATCTTCCCCGGATACATTGGACATATACAATGGTTTCATGATTACTTACGGGACTATCCTTCACGAACATAATGCTGTTTTCTTCTAAAAGGACTTGCCCTCAATGTTGAGAAGAGTCGAAAGATGCAGCAATTGCCAAGGCCAATCTACTCACGACCTGGAGTTCCCTCGACCCTACCTTTCTGTACACAACCGAACATGATCATTTTTGTGGATTATCCAATTATTCTTCTAGGCCTATGTCCTGAAGACTGTCTAGTCATGTGCCATCAGCTTCTGTGAGATTAACTCTGATTCTCGAAAACACTCAAAGCTCGAAATCTGTGCAGGGACTGGGTGCATCTGCCGAGGGGGGGTGGTACATCTTCGAGCTGACAATCGACGCTTACTTCTATCGTGAGGCAACACCCTGCTTGAATACTGTTTCTTTGTGCCAGTAAATCCACATGGAACTTCAGCTCGGACTTTTGACGCTTGCTCCGGCAACCCTGGGACTTGGTCCTGTATCGGTGGATTGAGCAAGACGCCTGCTTTCTTCCTATGCTGTTTGCTTGCTCGACTTATTTTCGCAAATAAATCTACTCCGCTGCTCTCGAACTGGAGGACCTACGAAGAAATCGTCCGTATGGAAGAAGTGAGACTTCTCTGGTGGCCACCTTTATACATCAGTCGCCGAGCGTCATTTCACAAACGAATCCTCCTTGCAGTTGACCTGATCATCAACTTTTTAACCGGGCATCAGTACGCAGACGGGGCTCTCATTATGGTACCCAAGGACGTAGCCTTCCATTACCTGGTAATTTCCCGGCCCTTAACTCAGCATCTGCAAAATTCCCCTCACTTGAGTATCTGGTGCTCGTTGGAGCAGTAGGAAGTACGCTCGTTCAGTAAACAGGCAGGCTCCCTATTCGAAACGCTGAAATGCACAGCTGAAGCGCCGGTTGTCTGCAGCCGGAGTTTCTTTTCCACAGACTTCAACTGGAAAACATGTCGTGAGCATTTGAGCAGCTTTTCGTCCTTTTGAAGTTCGTTGGACGGGAGCAGGCGTGTGTATAACAGTTGGCCTTGAGACTTCGCCTGCGTTCTTGGAAAGGTTCTCTCACGGTTGTCAACCTGGATATAGCTGCCATACAGCTCTTAATCAAGTGCGGATGCAGCCCGGGAATATGAATTGGTCCATCGAAAGAAACATTCCTTTCCTTGACATTGGCTCAAGGAGTGATGAGTAGCCACACTTGCATGGGAAGCTGGTTGAGAATCCCGGTATCGACGTTTCCAAAAGGATGCCCGTGCAACTTGGTCGAGGGTAGACGATACTCAGACGGTATCAGTCGGTTTCCAACGGTATTTTTCATCAGTCCTTTAAAGAGGTGGACGCTTAAAGCTGAAGTTTGCAGCAAATGTTCACACATGCCCCGTTTCCCTGCCTCCAAATCCTCTACCGTAGCAGCTGGTCTCTCTCGCAGCCGCCCCTTACTTTTGCCGCTCGTTAAGCCTGGCCTCGATTTGGTTCCAAAGGGACCTCGAATAAAGAGATGCCCAAGCTCGTGCTTCCTGTCGAGCCAAGAAGAACGGAATTGCGCTGGGCGCATCAGAGCCGTCATAAACGCCACCGTCTGTCAGCGTAGTAAAGCGGACTGCCGTGCGTTGAGTCCTTCGAAACGCCGCCGTCCCGTCCGCGCAATAAAGCCAAAAAGAAGAAGAAATGAAACCATTTTCTCTTCGTACAGAAAACCTGGTTCCCTTTGGACTTCGTCGCCTGCCTTCCCGTGGATCTCATACTGCGGGTCGTCCAGGGCACCTTCTACTGCTCGCTGTCCCGGACATGCCATCACAAAATCTCAAGTGAGACCGCTCCTTCTTTTACTGCCCTTTGTAATGTGGTCTGCATCCCAACTGCATCGAGTGCATCGCTTCTCGCGCTATTCGTAACTCGGACATTAAAGGCGCTGGCTCCGTGTACGACATTAATGTTGAATGAATTTCCCATTCTTTGTTCTTTGATGTTCAGCCATTGTATTAGATATTGTAATACAATTTTCGAACGATTATAACCAACCATAGCACGAAGCAGATTCAATAAGCAGAGGATCGTCGGTGATTCGCGTAATCTGTGTCCAGAACTGCCTCTCAACCGTGTCCTTGTAGTAATATCGAGCATAAATAGCTCCCACGTCAGAAAACATCGCGTGCTGCTTTTCGTAGCCATCTGGCAATGCCGGTGTCACTGCGATCGTGACCCTCAGTCAGTAACGAAACCACCGAGTCTTACAAGCTCTGCCAAATGTAACAAGTTGCCCTGCTAGATGACATCTTTGAAGGAACACGGTGTATTGATTCGCTGCCAATGTTGGTGAAAAGCTGACTCTGTTTCAGGCATCTTGCTCAGAAGACGCTTCGTAACAAAAGAAGGCAAGTCTTTGACACTGCTCGCTGTAACTCACAGCCTTTTAGTCATGACGATCATCGGTGTGACGTTCTGCTGACGTACATTCTCGCGTGTTTGCAGCGGCGGGGATGCTGTTCCGTCTCTTGAAGATTCTGCGTCTCTTCAAGCTGATCAAGCTGGTCAGGTACGCCCGCCGTCATCGAATCACTTCAACCAGCCGCCCAACTTCTTTTCGTCAGCTGCACCTCCTGTCAACGCTCTCTCTTTCATGGCACCTTCCTTGTCCCGTACTATCATTCTTCTGGCACTCAGTATGCCTTGGAAATGTAACACTGAAATTTGAATGTTTGTCTTGTTTGCGCAAATAAATTTCTCCCTGTGGCTACTCATATTTTAAGCCTTTGCCACTCATTCGTCGCTTCGTGGCCTCGTCATGCGCTCAGCAATCCTCGGCCGTAGGTTCAACGTTACCACACCTTCGAGCTCGGTCATTTATCAACTCAACTACTCAACTCGATCACGTCATTCGCATTTCGTGTATCGGGGCAACCCTCCGTCGTGATCTTCAGAATCTTAGAACGCTCCCCCTCGTGCACAACTCCAAAATCCCAAGTACTCGTCGCTTTACAGCTGCCTCACCCCTAAACCATGCACCCCAAGCACGCCAAATCCCTAATATCCTCAATTTCAAGCGACTGAAATTTTTCCCTTTCGCCTTTCAGATTGTTCAGCATCCGTCGGCTGCTGGACCGATACCACCACGACCTGTTCCTAGTTCTTCCCTTCCTGTCCGTCGCCCAAATGTTCATCGTCATCCTGTTTCTGGGCCACCTCTACGCCTGCTTCTTCTACTACTTCTCCACCTCGGTGAGTATCGCTTTCCCAGAGTTGCTGCTTATTGCGCTGGCAAAAACGGTCTGCGAAGACTTTGTTTGATGCGACATGCTCAACGCTGTAGAAGCTATATAGCTACCAATCAACTTGTTTCCTACATTGCCGTGAAAGCAGCCGCCCTGTTTGCTTCAACCAGGAATGGACCACTTCCGCGGAAAAGCGAACTGCAGGATTCGGCGATTTCGATCTTTCAAAGTATTGCCTTACGCTTTGCTTTACGTCGACGGTGACGGAGCTCCTCCCGAACTGACTCGCAGAGCGACCTCGAGAGTGCACAGCGAGCTTACATAGAATTCGAAAGAGTGCACTCGCCCTCGGTGTACCATTCTTCGATCTCAGCAGACTATCATCGACTATCAGGCCTGCTGAAGTGAAAAATTAGTAAAGCAAAAGCGAGAAAAAGCGGCAATGTCCTCCTCAACGCTCAGGTCGGCCGAATAGGCCTACGGCGATCATGTTGCGTCATTGTCTTGAAACTAAGAAGCAGTACGAGACAAGAGCGCTTTCTGGTGCTGCAGGATTGGCGGACCCCCGCCGAGAAGCGAGGGCTGGCGGAGACGCTCAGCTCAGGGACGTCAACCGACAGCCGCCGACTGCCGTGGATCATCTCCGAGTTTGGCGGGTAGGCAAACGCACTTTTGGTCAGCTCCCAAAGCCTCTTTGAAGAAGGCGCGGAACGTGCTCTTCCTCGGTGTCCTTTAGCATCGTGGATTGGCTTTCAGATTCCTGAGTGTCCGCATGGTGACGCCGTCGGCGTTCAGGAGTGACGTCCGTCGAATGACGGCGATCGCTTCGGTGAGCGAGCGCACCGTCGTGATCGAATCGGTCGGTGGTCTAACGGCAATATAAAAAAGGCGTGGGACTCGCACGTGCTTTGGAGCTCCCAGGTTCCGAAAGCATCGTGGAGAGGTCTTTGAATCCCAGATTGTCAAGATTGTGAAGCCCTCGGCGTTCAGGAGTGACGTCCGTCGAATGAAGGTGCTCACTTGGGACGGGCTAGCAGCGAGAGGACTCTAGGCATCAGTCCTGCGGGCTCATAAGACTTTTATGGACTTCAGGTTCATGAAAAGATGAATGCATGAGTCGAGGCTGTCTATGAACGCTGCTAGAGAGCCCAAGTTTTGTAAGAAGTACTCTTTCATCTGCCTTCATGTCCCTCTTGCGGTTCAAATCAAATTTATATGCTCGTCAGGGTAATGGTACGCCCCGATGAGTAAACCCGGCCTCTGCGTACTTTCGCGCGCTCTATTGGCCGCTTGCTCCGCTTTGAACGGTGCGCTTCGGTGAAGCTTCACAAGAAAAGCTTCTTGCGGAATGTATCCAAGGTCCCCTTGCAAACTTCAAAGGAATAAGACTATTCATTTCCAAAGGATTATGGTCCCCCCGACAGCATGGGTCGGGCCTCCCGTTACATCGGCGCGCTCTACTGGTGGGTGGATCGGCTGAGTACTGGGCTACAAAGCCTTGTTTGAACCACCAAGGTCACACTGCAGACGCACAAATTCATTCCAGAACACAAAACACTTTTTCCTCCGGGAGTACGGCACGCCCGGGAGCATGGGCCTGGCGTCCCGGTACATCGGCGCGCTCTACTGGGCGTTCGTCACGCTCTGCACGCTGGGCTTCGCAAGGAAAAGCCTTTCACTTGAACTAACATCAAAACGCAGGTCTCTGTTAGCAACTGATCACGAGAATTTCCTTGACCTCCTTCCAGGGAATATGGCACCCCCGGGAGCATGGGCCTTGCCTCGGCGCGCTCTACTGGGCGTTCGCCACGCTCCATACGGCGGGCTACAAAAACTCTCACACAAAACCGTATTCCACAAAGTTAACAGGAGAAGTTGAAAATTTCACTGGCAAGCCCAGGAACTTATCTCCACTTTCCCCCAGGGAGTATGGCACGCCCGGGAGCATGGGCCTGGCATCCTGGTACATCGGCGCGCTCTATTGGGCGTTCGCCACGCTCTGCACGGTGCGCTTTGGGGAATTTCCCAGGAAAATCTTCTTTGCAATACAGCTCAAAGGTCCACCGGCAGATTTTGAAGACGGTCTCTTCTTCTTTTCAGGGAGTATGGCACGCCCGGAAGCATGGGCCTCGCCTCCCGGTACATCGGCGCGCTCTACTGGGTCGCCACGCTCTGCACAGTCGGCTACAGAGACTCTGACACAAAATCCTACTCTACAATACTATCAAAAAATGTCAGATTTCCACTGGCAAGCCCATGAACATATCTTCACTTTCCCCAGGGAGTATGGCACGCCCGGGAGCATGGGCCTTGCCTCCCGGTACATCGGCGCGCTCTACTGGGCATTCGCCACGCTGTGCACGGTCGGCTACGGTGACATCAGCGCGAAAACGGAGGGCGAGCGCGTCTTCGCGATCGTGTCCATGATCACCGGCGGGTTTGTTTTCAGTGGGGTCATCGCCAAGATCGGGTCGCTCGTGGCGAAAGTAGACGCGGCAAAAACTGCGCACAACGACAAGATGGATGCGGTGAGCCGCCGGCGCGGGTGTGGGCTTTTCGAGTTGGACGTTTCTCTCGCATTTATGGGTTTCATTTCATTGCATTTCATTTGAATGACTCATACAGATAAGTTGGAAAGATGTAGTTGTTGAACTGATGTGCAAAGATCTACCCATCTCTGATTCGCAAGTATCGAAAACGTTTCGCAAGCTGTACAGACAGGTGCCCTCAGTAACGTTCAGTGGAGCCAGCCCCACCGTACTGCCAGAAAGAAGGCTGGTGGCGGCGTTCATGCGCAAGCACAGAAGGCAGCGCGAGCTGCGCAGCCAGGTGCTCGTTCTCTGGTTGCGGCAAACCCTTCTGAAAATCGTTATCTTCTGGCCCCTCTTACTCCCACCCAACTCCGGAAGAAAATCAATGTTAACCCTGCTTAACCCATCTTTCATGCGCAGGTAACCGCGTTTATACGCGAGCACAAAATGCCGCGTGACCTGCGCAGCCAGGTGCTGATCTTCTTCACGAAGCAGCAGGTGCGCGCGTACAACGTGCGGACGATCCTGTCGCAGATGCCGTACGACCTGCGGTCGTCCATTCTGCTCTACCTGTACAGAGATATCATCAAAAAGGTGAGCTGACGTCACGGGTTGGTCGAACTAGGAATTGTCGTGGGGTAGTTCTGTCAAGATCACAAAGTTCCAAAGTTTACAAGAAACTATGAGTACTATTTTCAATTGTCGGAATGACAAAACGACCCTATGGGACCTTAGCTTAGGGTGGAAGGTACAAAAACTGAGTCGAAAGACGGGGAAAGGGTTGAGCTTGGTTTGAACCACTGTCAAAGATGGCTTTCTAAAATAGCGTCTGAGGAAGGCTCAGACAGCACATCTGGCAGATCCGGTCACATGATCACCAGTGGGATGCTTTGATGTATATGAGTCACTTTGATTATGATCCTTGATCTTTTCACAAAGGTTTCAATTGCACAATCTAGTTTCACCACAGCCTTTTCAAACTGCTTCTAAAGTGTCGGGTGTCGAACATAAGCAGCGAACAAACTTTCCCCGCTTTTCCAGGTTCCCTTCTTCGACGGCACGGACGACATCTTTATCACAGACGTGTGCCTCCGCCTGAAACCAGCAACCTATGCGGCGGGCACGTATATCTACACTACCGGCGAGATCGGGCGGGACCTGTTGGTTGTCGTTAAGGGAGAGGTGAGCTACACTGGACAGGGTTAAGCCCCTTACGTCGCAAGATTACTTGGCCTCTCAATTTCGTTCTTGACAATCCGAGCTTATTTGAAGCCTTTTAAGCGGCAAGACCTGGTCCGCTTATACCAATCGCTAACGATCTTGAGAGACAGAAAGTTGTCCAGAGCAGAGTTCTTTGAAGTTCTTGGAAGCTGGAGGTGCTGGACAGGTAACGCGCGCACTCTGCGAGTTGGTGCGCGCATGGTACCGTTGGCTCCCCCAATGTCGAGCTCGTACCAAGCTCAAATTGTAGAACCCCTTTCTCTAAAAAATCCCTCGCCGGTTGGATCTGCTGGGCCCGCTGAAGCGGGGGACATGCGCACTGTGCGGATCCCGCCGATCGCCCTCCAATGTGTTGAATAACATGGACTCCGAAAGGCCAAGGACTCACAATGAGCGCGCATATCTGCTCCGCAGGTGAAGATGCTGGTTTGGCCGAAGCAAGTGCCGCGCGCGCTGTGCGCGTGTCGCTGCTCGCCCATACGATTCTGAGCTCATCAACAACCCAACTAACCGGAATTTTGAAAACCGCGGGGAGCAAAAAGGTGGAGGTGCTGGGTCCCCAGAAGCAGGAAACGCGCGCTGTGCCCGTGTCGCAGGGTCGCCACAACGGATACGCCTCAGTCATAAACCAAAAACTTGAGGTCAAATGTAAACCCCGTTATCGAAATTCGCGTGTTTCTTTCCGCAGGTGGAGGTGCTGGGCCCCCAGAAGCAGGTGACCCGCGTGTTATACGAGGGCAGCTACTTCGGCGAGGGGTGCATCCTGGGGGACGTCCGCAGAATGGAGAGCGTCCGAGCGCGGACGCCCTGCAGCCTCTGCGTACTCGAGGTGCGCAGACTGCTCAGCTTCTGTCTTGCTTACAACATTGTTGTTCTGAGTCCAGTATCGTTTCCTCTTCTTTCTTCTTCTTTGCTTCTTTCTTTTCTTGCGAGGTTCGAAGGAAGTTAAGGAGTGCGTCCGAGCGCGGACGCAGAGCCGAGGTACGCAAACTTGAGCTCCTGTTTGATAAAACAAGCATGCTCTAAGTCGAGTATCGCATTAAAAGGCTTCTTTTTTCTCGTTCTCTTTTCCTTTTTTCGTGCTAGGTTTGGGAACCAGAGAGCCTTTGAGCGGGGAGTGCCTTGCAGCCTCTGCGTCCTTGACTGCAACGCTCTTTTCCTCTACTTTGAAGATTGAACATATCTTTCTGGGTTCGTGGATTGGCGAGCGTTCGATCACGTGACGGCCTCTAAGTCTTGCGGCCTGTGACAAGCGGGCAACTGCGACCTACCTCATATCGGTTGCTTCGTTAGGACCGTTTCGGCAACACATCAAGCTGAGTTTGTCTTCGTGAAAGCAGATTAGCCGCCTGGATGCCAGTAATCAATGTTGCTCGGTGTGAACAGGCCTTGTGTTGAAGCGAACACGCAATAGCTTCGTTTGAGCCTACGCGTAGCCTATCCAGACTGGCAACAATCTCACCACGAGTGCGAGAAACGACGACATGCACGTGACGCTCTCCTTTCCACCTATCCTCAGTACCCATAGAGTTGCGGAGCTTCCTCCTTAAGCCCTCTCGCTTACGTCCTTTTCCTACAGCCGGACGGTCTCTCAAGAGTCGATCATTTCTATACAAACAACATCCGATCTAGGTTGTGTGCGAGAGCGCTAAATTCTAGAGAGTGCGTGATCCGTGCCCTTTACTACCTCTTCATATTCAGGTATTTTGTACCCGATTGACCTACCTGCATCTTGCGGGCCTCCTTTCGGAACCTGATCCTTAACCCAACCGCCTGTGAGCGGCCGCCTTTCTTTCCGCCCTTCCCGCCCTTCGTTTTTAACCACCTCCTCAACCACTTCCCTAACCATCTCCTTAACCCTCCTTCCTCAGGCGGACGATCTCGAGGAGCTGCTCATAAACTACCCCGAAATGGACCAAATGCTACGGCGCGTTTACAGCCGGCGAAAGCAGCACTTCAAGTCTGCTGCCACCTCCTTCTCCTCGGTGCCTTCCCCCGGTCCTCGTCGGCGACATTCAACGGACCCCAACGGAACCGTCCCTCGGGCAGCGGAACCGGCCGACGCACTGCACCTCCTGGCCGGGGGGCTCAAACCCGCGGCAAATCCCCCCCCTGGCATGGACTTGAGGGCGATCGCGCGACTGTCCCGGTCCGCGACGAACGGCCCCGGTGCGTCGGAGTGGTCCGGACCGGAGACATCTTTGGGGAAGGAAGAGGCGACGCTTCTCAGCGAATCACTAGGCTTCGGGTCGCCGCCTCAAACGCAGGAGAGCCCGGGGAGCGAGGCGGAAAGCAAGGGGTGGAAGCCCATGGCCCGGTTGTTCAAAAACCAGGTGGTTCCGGAGGAATTAACCAAGGAGTTAAAGAAAGAGCTAACAAGAAAGGCCACGAATCTGAGAGCAGATCCGGCGCTCGGGGGAGCGTCTACCGACGCGCCAGAAAAGACGCGCGGCGGCGGAAACGAACCGGAAGAGGGCAGAACCAGAGTCGCAAGCAGTATGGACGGGGTGACGACCAGCGGAACGGGAAGGATAGGATCAGTAACGGAACCGGAGTCTAGCGGAAACGGTGGTGGGAGTCCCACCGGTCATCGCCGAAGGTTGAGTGCGCAGGCGGGGGGCCAAGAGAAGTGGGCTAATGGGGGAAATCTAAAACTGGTCGTGAACGGGGATTCTGACACCGGGGATACAGGGGGAGCGGAAAACTTGGATGCAGGACATTCCGACAGGCGTTCGCCTAAATCGCAAGAGCTCCCCGGAATAATGAGCTTCCGCCGGCGGAGCTCCACGCAGGCGTCCCTTCTGGGTGTCCAGGAACCGTCGACAGGGGAAGCCGCAGAGAGCGGAACGAGTTCCGGGCTCAGCGGGCTCCGGGCGGAACTGCGGAACCTGCGGCACGAGGTGAAGGTGCTGAGGACGGAACACCGGCAGGATGCGGCGCTCGTTCAGGAGCAGTATAAGGCAATAATGAGCCTCCTTTTGAAGGTGTCCCGCCAGACGGTATCGGGGCAAGGCTCCGATAACGACTTCTTTGTGCATCATGCCTAACTATAGGCCAGTCCGTTCTTCTGTGACGGTAGTTTTGCATTCGATCAGTCTGACGCGGTACCTAGTAAGCCCACCGCCAGCATCGATGGCGGCGCTCTGTTTATTAGGACTCGGGAGCGCCTGAGGAGCGGAATAATTTTTCCTAGTCATGAACAGAAACGAAGTCGACGCAGACTGCCCTTGACCCCAAGTACTTCCAACCCCGCAGAAGAGCAAGCGCTGTGGATAGCAGTGTCTAGCTGTAGCGGTGAAATCTGGGTGCCCATATTCCCCATATTGCCAACATTCCTGCAAAAGCTAGAGCAAAGTCCTCCAGAAGCGCTGATCTCAACTCGCCCCTCGAGGATCTCATCTCGCCCCGCGAAGACTCACTTTGGGTCGTTGGCCCCCTCTAGCTAGCTCTTGAGAATATTGCATGCAATGAGGCAACGCGTTCACGGCCGGTCGGATCGAGCTCCAAGTCAGTCCTGCTGAAGATCTCAATTTATAGTTAGTGATTGATCTGCGGTTTTGGTGACTAATTCTATAGCCCTAGCTCAGATCGATGAGTCGCGTTGAAAACACAATTCGTCAATTACCCAAGCATGTCGAAACCAATGTCGGATCGAGGGGGCTTGCCCCGCCTGCTTCGGTCATAGCTAAGCGCAGCGGCCGATCTCCTAGCAATTCCGTGTAGTCACTGCCGAAGCAGTCAATCGAGTAAGCCCACATACATGAGTTGATGTGGTTCGTGCGATATCCTTGCAACATATGGGTTCTAATGGGGCGGCACTTGTTTGCCCATGCAACACTGCAGCAGTGACGGGACGAACTTGATGTCACATGGCCAGCTGTAGGTGAACAGCTACTTTGTACTCACAACTTATACATGCTGAATGCAAGCTCGCCACCGTACTCATATGTCAGCAAGCACGGAGTGATGTCATGCTGACGCCACTCTGGGGGATTGAAAGTATAAGCAGGCAGTCTCCTGGAGCCATACGCAAAACGACAGATTTAGTTCATCTCAAAGACTCTGCAACATCCTCCAGGGACATCTCCTCAAAGCAGTGTACCCTTATTTAGCTGATCATGACAGGCATTCTGAGGAGGTCAGGATGCGTTGGCAGGTTCTCTTGAGCATCCCTAAATGTACGGAACGAAGACTTCAACAATTTCAAAACCCATAATTTCCAAAATGGACAACGCCACCCACTTCCTTACGCGCGATGAGCAAACGATTGAAGAGACGCTCCCGCTCCCGCTTGCACCGATTCAATCCGAGCACTGGACTCCGTCTTCCGGACCCTATCCGTGCTGACGTCACGAGGTGACGTGTTTTGACGCCTTGCACGCATCAGGGGTTGAGTTTCCTCGCTCCACGTCACACGCCCGGCGCTTTAGGCACATGCTGCAGTAGCGCCCGGGGCGGCGACGCACGCCGTGCGGCAGCAAACGAACTGGTCGCCCGCGGCGTTGAAGCACTGGTTGGGAAGCCCCGAGTACGGGTCACACGCGCGCGGTGCGCGCGCAGAGGCAGTCGGGGCGGGACTGCCGGCTGGCCCGGGGGTAGCGGTTGGTGGGGTCGTGGGACCGCACGACGCGATCGAAGGCGGGGGCGAGAGACACTGGAGGAGACCTCCACAACTTGTCAGAGTTTTGCTTGCAAGTGGCTCTTGTAAATCTAAGACGGCCCCCCCGATACAGCCTTTTTAATTTGAACACTTACCAAAAAGTCTTGTTTCTTCCAATCTTCCAAGGCCGTGAGAGGCATGTTCTGAATGTAGGCCGAATGAAGTTGGATCAAGGCGGAACCGTCACGGGCTCAGCCAAGTCCTCAAGGAGAACGCTCTGGAGCTGTTAAATCCGCAGACACAGCCGTCGAATCAATAGTCGAGAAGCATTTTTGACGGCTGCTAACTTTCACTGAGTGCGAATGACATAAGGTCCACCGACGGAACCCACTACTCGTTCAATGGTCTCCACTTGTTTCGTTCTCTAAATTTTCCGGCGCAGTTCCGAAGATCGGTCCGAATCGCGGGGATACTTCCATCACCCGGTCGGACATGTGCACAGAATCAATGTGTCCAGGAGTGTCCGGTCTGGTGTCCGGTGTCCGGTGTCCGCGGCGGCTCACCGGATTGCTGCAGCAGACGAAGGCGTCCCCCGCGGCGTTGAAGCACTGGTTGGGGTCGCTGCCATAAGCGTCGCACGCGTCTATGATTGGGGCGCTGCTGACGGTAGGAACTGTACACGTGGGATTCGGGCGGATATGTATATCGACATGAACGAAACAGAGCACAGGATCATTCTTAGCAAAAGGAAGAAGGTGTTTGCAATCGGCGAGGCTGAAAGGAATTGAAGCAATATACGAGCGCCAAGCGGCTGGTTCGGGTAAGGACTCGGGCAAATAACAGTAGATTTTCGGTTAATAAAACCCTCGCTGTCGCTGTCGCTGAAAGACTTGGAGCCATTTGCATGAAGCAGCATTCTGAGAAGAGATTTCCGCCGGGCGAGTGCTGCTGAAGTTCGGCGGAACAACGGAAGGCTGAAGCCTGACGGAACAGCGGAAGATGTGAGTGGACCAGACGAACGGGTCAGAACGGAGTAAGAGCGACCCGTCTCGCAAAATTTTTACACGTCATGGGTTTCATCTGGCGCGGTACTAATTACTAATGTCTGGAGACTGTCTTTCTGTTTTTGGTTGTGGCTATAGTCTCGGTGGAATCCAATCGCTCCGTTAGCAACGGCAGAAGAAACGAGAAGCTTTCAGTGCGGGTTGCTTTGAGAGTTGCTTCGCCGTTGAAAATGTGCAGTTAAAGAAAATACATTATCCAAAAGGTCCCTATCATTCTGAAACCGTAAATGACACGCGGCGGCGAATGTTTGACTATGATGGAACTCTGCCACAGATTCCGCCGGGCAAACGCCTTTCCGGCGGATCGAAGGTGCGTGGCCCGGAATGTAAAGAAGGCCCAGACAGCCTCGGGGTTTAGGTTTGGGGTCGACTTACTCGGGGTCGTTCCGGTGGGACTAGTTGTTCCGGTCGGCACGGTTCCGGTCGGCACGGTTCCGGTCGGAGTGGGGACCGCTGTCAGAACTGGCTGGTACTTGCCGCTCGCACAGGTAGGGAGATTGTTTACGGTCGGGCCACAGGACTCCGGATCGCAGCAGACGTAAAGTGCACCCGACGGGTCAAAGCACTGCAATCAAGAGCAAGCACGGTTCGAATTGCTAGCTCTCAGAATCGCTCTTACAGTCGAACTATGCAAGAGGGGACGTCGGAAAGAGAGGAAGCTTATTTTCCAATGTAATTGATATCCTTGCAATCCAGGCCTGGCGAGATTTGCCGCGTGCATCGTGGGAGCAGAAAAATTCTGCGGATATTTCGTCTGGCTGTCGTTCTCAGTCCAGGGGTGCGACCAAATGGCCATCTCGTTTTCTTGTTCTCGAGACTTACTACGAATTACAGCTCAATGCGCCGTGCGAACGTTGTAGGACTTTCAATCCTTGTCGGAGCGGACTCGCTGACTTGCAGTCGGCTTGACGGGCGGATAGGCTGATGTGAAGACGGTCTATACCTCAAACCAGGCTAAAATATACACAGCTTGCTTGATTCAAGCTTATATATGAAAGTCGGATATCTGAAGCTGACACTTACTCTTCAGAACGGTGTGCCGCTTATTCGAACGACGGACCAAGCAAACGGTCTCCGTTTCATCTGAAGATAGAACTAGTTGGCAGCGTTGAACCTCGAGCATAAGATCGGAAGGGTCTCGGGCCGACTTACCTGGTTCTGAAAGTAGGACAGGTAGTCGCAGGTTCCGCCTGAACCATTGTATGAACCCAGTGGTTAGCGACGGTCAGGTGAGGCTGGTTAGCACTAAGGTCAGGTCACTTTCCCGCTTAACCGGTCATGAGCGGAATAGCTTAGCCTAGCTAAGGAACGGGCGACGAAGATTACAAGCTGAAAAACTCTTGACCGAAACAGCCGAAGGCTATGGTTTCTTTGACCTGTTCAGGGCTTTAGCCCCAGAAAAGGAGCCACTCCTTGGCTCTCGACGATGAAATCAACGGAAGTCCTAATCTGAACTTCGGAAAAGCAATAGCATAAAATCGATGGAGGTAGGTAGCCAGTACGGTAGAGCAAACAAGAATACGCACTGTCTCCGGGGAGCATCGTCTGAATCGGCGTCAATCACGGTCCGCGAGAGAGTCCAGAATGTCAAAAAGCACCTTGCAGAAGGGTCGCCACAGTTGTAAAAGCAGGAGCCGAAGTTGGGCTCAGGGTCGTAGGAGCGGGGGTGGTCGGGACGGGGGTGGTCGGGGCCGGGGTGGTCGGGGAGGGAGTGGTCGGGACTGGAGTGGTCGGGGCGGGGGTAGTCGGGGGCCGGGGTGGTCGGGGTGGGAGGTGGGTCGGGGCCGAGGGGTGGTCGGGGCGTGGGAGG